CCGTTTATGGCTAATACCCAAATGCCACTTGAGTTGGTTAAACAGCTGCCAAAAAGGGGAGTCAACTCCCACGGGAGCAAGAGTTGAGATATTTTTGTTTACTCTATGAAAAGTTTATAAAACTTGTTAATTTTCCGATTTAAATTGAAATTGTTTGTTCATTGGTAAGGAAAAAAATTTTAAATTAAATAGTGCTCATTAAAGATGGATGTCACAAGATTAATTCATAGCAAAGAACACAATGTCTCAGGTATATAAGGAAAGTTTGAATACAAGAAAGTTTGATATATATATTTCTTAAATATAAATGTTTATACCCTTGATGGGTATTATAATTTTAGTTTAGAGTATTCTCATGTTGAAAACATCAAAATTATATATTTTTCTCTCAATTTCCCGATCGTTTCTATGGTAGCTATATGATATAGACATTCCATTTGATTTAAATTAAAACCGAAATTCTACAATAATGTAAAAGGACCATAATTTAAATTTGATAAAAATCTGTTGAAAACTGACAAAGTTATAATTTATTTTCTAGAAATGTTGCCATTGTTCGTATGTCAGCTATATTATATAGTAATCCGATCTGGATATTAAATAAAAGCAGGTATTACTCGATTGTTTTTTAACATAAATAAATATAATTAATATTGAATGGATTCCTAGTCATCGAAGATCTATCTGCAAGGGTATATAAACTCCGGCGTGCCGAAGTTAGCTGTCTTTCTTGTTTTTTTTAAATGAATTATTGTATTATTTATTTATTTTTCCTTTATTTATTAATTTTTTAATATTTATTTTTACTGAGCCCTATTAGGAAAATAAGCGTCAAGCAATCGATTTCCCATTATATCCCAATTGGAACGAATTTCCAGTCCAAATCAAAACGAACAGTTTGTTGGAAGCGTCCAGCTGAAATTAACGACATCGCCGTGTCGCCTTCCCCCTCTCGCCTAAAAGCCTAAGCTCATCATCCGCCTTTCAATACCACTGAGCGTCCTCTCCCGGCGGCCATTGCAGTTCCTCACACACTCCGCCGAACGATCTATGTTAACTCTCTGAGTTAGAGCATCTTAACATGGAGCTGTTAAGTTGCAGGAGCACACATCTCCGTGTCCCCTTCCCCCCTCTCGCCTAAAAGCCTAAGCTCATCGTCCGCCTTTCAATACCACTGAGCGTCCTCTCCCGGCGGCCATTGCAGTTCCTCACACACTCCGCTGAACGATCTATGTTAACTTACAAAACTCTCCTCTCTGGGTTATAGCAGATCTGTTAATTGATTTTACTTCCTACATGAAAAGCCTCCCTCAGGCCGAAAGTTCTATGCCCATATGTATATCTGTTAACATGTAAAAGTGCTAGCTACACGCGTCAAATGTAAAATGTTAATCATAACATAGGCCTGTTAAGTTCCAGGAGCAGACTGCTAACAGAGCGGACGAAAGAGCGTGGGCGAGAGAGCGACCAGAACAAAAATCAATCTCAACGGGGGAGGATCGTTGCTCCGGTGAAAAATCGAAAAACACGGGAAAACACCGCGGAAAACCCCAGTAGAGGTGTGGAAATTGCGGGAAAACGTGACCCCCACCAGATTAGTCCAACAAATTGTCACATAAAAAAATCAATAAATATTTATTTAAAGGATGTGAATATTTTAGGCAAAGTTATGATCGATTTCCGATACGATACCCTGCAAGGGTATATAAACTTGGGTTTTTCAAAGTTAGTTTCTTTTCATGTTCAATTTTTTTTATTAATTCTTTAACAGACATGCAAGTGCATCACTAAAATAAGACTTTAGATTCTTTGTTATCCTTTGATATATGTATATTCATAGTTCCATTAAACTTAGCACCTCCTTGATAACTTCCCTTGGCATTTCCTTGAGTAAGACTCCCCCCTTGAAAGCCCCATCGTAAGGGCTTTCAGTTAATTTACTTTAATTTAACTCGATTAGATACCCTTTGAGTCTGCACTCCTTTGGGTCACTCTTGGCAAGTGCCAAGCCGGATGATAATAATTGCCAGAACAATGAGCGGCGGAAACTTTGGCTAATAGAAAATGCAAACAACATATTAAACAATTAAACGGAAATTAGCACAAAATATTCAGCCAGAGTAGGAGGAGCAGAAGTAGGACTAGGACGAACCGGAGCCGGATCTGTATTCCTGCTACGAGTCGCTTCATTAATAAACGGAATTGAAAGTGAACGGAAATGAATGTAGTGTCTCGAATGTGCGAAAATATGGCAAGAGGAGCAAGGAGTCCCTGTGCTAATGAAGCGGCTTGTAGTTGGAGACTCTGGGACACAGGTACCGAGAGGAAAACAAGTAAACGGAAACAACGGTGGAACCGGAAGACAGGGCTGGGCAGGGCAGGGCAGGGGGGAGGACAGAGGCTGCCATGGAATCATCCGTGGCCAACTTAAATATGCAAGACAGCGCTCGGCTGGGCGCCAAATGTGCCACCACCCCTGCTCCGAGCTTCGTCCCGTGTCAGGACTTGGGATCCAGCAACCTCAAAACCCCACTCCACCGACACCCAAAAAGGCCCCAACTCCTTGGGAGCCTTGTGAGCGCCAGCTGTGCCGACAATAGCGACAAGGTCTGACTCACATTGCCACTTGGCAGGCACTGAGGGAAAAGGTTTTAATATTATTTCGCTAAATAGTAGGCTATGCTTTTTGGGAAAGCAACTTAAAGGTGTTCTTTTGTCTTGCTTTTGAGTTTTCTTACCTATTTTATGGGTTTTATTTGAAATTTTATCACAAACTAATTCTAAAAACAATTAAATAGAAATATGTATTAAAAAATATAACAATATAGTATAAAAGTGTGCGGGAAAGGGTTTAAAATATTATTTCATTATACCCCTCCAAAGGTATTTCAAAAACACGTTGAAGGACCCTATAAAGTATATATATTCTTGATCAGCATTAATAGCCGAATCGATCTAGCTATGTCCAACAAAAATATATTTTTTTTAATTTTTAAATATTTTTTAAGGGCTTACATCGTTAAAATTGTCAAGAAATTCGAAAAAAAAAATATTTTTTTCAATTTCAAATAGAGTATGCAGATTTTTTAACCTAATAAAAACAACTAGAACACCGCTTTCCGAATTGAAATTAATGCTTTTTTGACTTAGGTATGATAAATTTAAAATTGAAATTTCCTGATCCAATTATAAATTGGAGTATAATATCTTATATTGCTTTAGAAAATTCAAAAAAATTCTCTCCAAGTTTTAATAAAACTGAAATATATTTCAAATGATCTTACACCATTTACTATACCAAAAACTATATAGTTTTCCACCTTCTCCCAGTGTACATTCTACCATTTGAAGCTCACTTTAGAGCAGCATAAACTTGCAACACTTTTACCTCATCATCAAGGACTTGAACTCAGGGAAATTGATTTTATGCAGCGTTTAGAAAGAAAGCCAAAGAAAATGGAATGTGGCAGGACTCCAGACCCAGAACCCAGGTCTCAAGGCACTCTGTATGCTAAACCGCAAAGAAAAATGGTGCCAGCGCCAAGGAGGAGAAAAGTGACATAAATAAAATCCGTGACTATAAATCTAAGGCATAAGCGGTTAAAGAGTCAGCCGAAAAGACGCGGCACGTAGCCCATCGTCGTAGTCATCCTTTTTTTAGCGAAACATCCTTATCCCTACTCCTTATTCCCCTCGTAGGATCAGGAGTCGCAAAAGTGAATCCCGCAAAATGCAGATAAATATGTAAATAGATACAACGCGGATTATGCTTCTTTTTTTTTGGACAACAAAAGTGAAAAGTGTTACCAGGCAATGGATACACTTCAAATAATGGATTTACATGACGGCTATCCGGCTATAGATAAAGGAAAAGGACCTCGAAGGGTTTAAGAAAATATATTGTATTGATTTTTGTAGATAAACGGGAAAAAAACTGTTTTAAGTGGAAGTTTTAAGCTTAATCAAGGTGATTAATACTTGAAACATAAAGATAAACAAGTGATGATGAGGTAAGAAGAAGGTACAACAAATTTAGGCAAAAAATTCAATTTATAAGCAAATTCTAAAGCTAAAACTCAAGTTAATTACAAGAAATTATAATTTATGCCAAATAGAATGCAAAATAGGTAGGATTCCTCTCTCTTTCTTGGACAATTGCCCCTTGCTTCGAGCTGTTTATAAAGTTAATTTAAGGCAAAAAACACTCCACCACCCTTTTTCACCTGAAAGTCCCTCTCCCTCATTTTTATGACCCACTGAATCTCCATCTACTCCTGCCCTTCGCGATGTTTATCATTCAACAATAAAAGCGGATCAAAATCAATCGAAGAGGAGGCCAAGAACACAAAAAAATAGAACCCAAAGAGGGAGAACTGGTGGCACTTTCATAGGTAAGAAAGCCCCATTTTTATGACCCCGCAAGGGTCACATTAAAACGCATGTTAAGCAACACGCAGAACAACAGGATGAACAGGAATGGGAATGGGTTTGGGATAAGGGTTGACTTGGTTGGAGCACTGCCGTGTGCCCGGTTAGATTGGTTCTCGGCTTGGTCATGGCTATGTCTTTGGTAACTTCTATGGGGTTGGAACATCCTCTTTTTTTCGCACGGCTTGACTTTGGCTGGCAATGCGGCTCGACTGGCATTTTAATAGACTGTTGACTGTTGCCACTGTTTACCAAATGTCTGGCTTGGGATAACCAAAAGGAAAAACAGTCGAAAAGGGAAAGTGACAAAACGAAGGTGTTGATACCCTGACTTAAGGGTTAAGATTTAAAGACAAGGCAATGAGAAATATTAAAAGTTACTATTAATCTAAAGCTGACTAAACAAGTTAATACAAAGACTGTTATCTTTAAAGCTTCTGCTTAGTATTAACATGCCAATACTCATAAGGAAATAATTAACAATACCTTGAAACACCCTTATAACCCTTTAGTTAGAGCATTAAAACCCCCTCAGGTCATGTACAGAATTCACAAGATAAGAAAACAAAAAGTTCATCACTCAAATTGACATTATTTCTTCGAAACCAGAAACTCTTTACATTTGCGTACTTCAAGATTTAAAAATTAAAATTTAGACGGGGAGAACAGGAATGCAAATGTGACTGCAGGAAGTCATTTAATGGGACTTGTCATTCTTCGATGATGGATGGAATATGCTAGGAGTCCAACCTGCCTTGACTCCCTGCTTGAGAGCAAGATCAGTGGAGCTAGTAGGAGTTGTGGTGGTGCTGGAGGTGGTGGTACCATCGCCCTCCCCCAAGCCCTTCAATGGCGTTCCCGGAGTGACAATAACAAAAGTGGTGGGCTTCTCTGCCGGTGGATCAATCTTCTTGCTGGCTATTTCTATGCCCATGTTGCCACTCAACTCTTTGGCCAAATCGTAGCAAGCCTCCTTGGCTTTGATGGCCAGTTGATTGGAGATTTTTGGTAGATTCTGCAATATATAGAATCCATCCTTGATGCCTCGATTATACATATCTCTGGCCATCTGGCCCATGTTCATCTCTTTCTCCGGATCTGGTAGAGGCAGCAGATCACGCACTAGACCACCCAGGGGTTTGAGGCCATGGATCACCTGGTGGTACAGTCGCTCCGACTCCTCTGACTGGCCCCAGACTCCAACACGTTTGGTCATGTAAACGGTAATGGTGACCGCTGCCGTTCTTGCCACGATTGAGGCGATCATTATTTCGAAATCTCTCTTTATAATTATTATATACTTATTTATATTTTATATATTAGAATTGGAAAAACACCCAAAAATGCGAACTGAAAGGGATTTTATTGGAAGCCAGAGCAGGAATGCCAAAAACGTTCTGATTATATTATATATATTTTTTTGTAGCTTTTAGAGTTTGGCAGAACTGATGGCAAGTTCAAGGCTTACTGAGAATAAGAAAATTCAAGGAATTAGGTGGGAATTCATTAGGTTTTACAAAGTTTTTCAGACTGCATAGCCTACTTATGAGGGCAGGAAATAGGCTGCAGTCTGGAGAGTTATTTTAATCTCTCTGGTGGCCAAGGCATTTGACCAATTTAATTGAAAGTTGGTTTGGCATATACAGAAGACATAGATAAATACAAATACTAAATATTTCTTCATGAAATACAAATAATAAGTATTTACCTTTCCAATTTAATGTCACATATCAGTGGTTGTAACTTTATTTCCCATCACAGAAGTAAGCAAGTTCTTTAAAGTTTCCCCTTTGGCCAGTCGTGATATACCTTTTCTGGGCCATAAAAAACGAGCACACTATCATCCAATGGCAGTGTTGGTTTGCCTTGGTGTTTTTTGGGTGCCCAGGCAAACACCCCCCCAAAAACAAGTGAGTAAAAATCTAATCCATTACTCAAACCAGCAAACTGAAAAAAATAATGGTATTGCCCACACGAGAAGGAGAAACGGATGCGGATGTGGAGGCTTGGAGCTGGCGTAAATCTTTTGTAACGTTTTTGGTTTTTCCCCCTTTTATTTTTAAGAGCCTTGGGGAGGGGTGGAGGGTGAGTGTGCGTGTGTGTGTGTGGTGGTACGTGAATGGAAATAAAACTGCAATTGGGCTTAGCACTTGGACCAGTTGTATGTCAAAGGCGAGACGAATCTTTGAAGGAACTTTGACATCCGCTGGGTGGCTTCTTGGACACATCTTCTTCGTTGTTTTTTTAATTTGCACAACTTTTGACCCAAATTCATTTGTCACACACAATGGAGGCGGTCGAGCGGCAAAGGACCACACATTTGCCATCCCAGCCCGAGGCGTGAGTCTGTGTGTGTTTTTGTAAATAAATAATAGAGGTAAAAGGTGGTTTTTGGTCCGAAAGGGTCCACATCTTAGGGCCAGGATGTGTCCATTCATTGGCAGAGTCATAAAGCCCCGGATAGATGGAGGTGCGAAGCGTGCCTAAAGTGTCCAAGAACACGATTTTCTATATTATTTTCGAGTGTATTTAAGCCCTCAAGGAAGAAAGGATATTTTCTAGAGACACGCCAAGGCTTTCTATAGCTCTCAGAACGGAAGGAAGCTTAAGCATATGTTTTGTTAAAGGTTTAATTATAAATTTAATATTATTTACAATAGTTTAGGCAGCAGTTTTTATCATTTCTAGCTTTCATCAAAAGGTTTTTGTTGAATTTTCCACAAATTCATCTTGAACTTGAACTAAAGTTTTTAGTTGCCATGAAATTTCTTTTAGGAATTTTTCCACAAAAAGGGTAGCATTCTTAGGCGAAAAGAAATCCTGGTAAACCAATCAAATACGTGACCCTTTTGGTGACCCTAATGAGCTGCTCTCTTAACCATTCCTTTTTCCTTACCACAACTATTTGCAAGTCTTGAATTTTGCTATTCAAGCTTAATAGCCGGAAATTAAATCAAGATTTGCGAGAAACCCTTTAGCAGATATAAAATGGTAAGGGATATGGCCAACAGCAGCCGCTTTCATTTACATATTTTGTACTCTAGTTGGACGCGGTCCTAACTCTCAGTTAACATTTGGCCCACTCCCCCCGCCAACTTTGAACTGACACTTTTTGGCCATGAAAATGAAAATATGTTGGAGTTTTTTGTTGGCCCAGACTAAGAAAAATGCTGTGGTTATATAAATGTGTATGTGTGTGGATTTGTAAAAAGCGCAAGTGTAATTAGTGTGAGGCTTAACGGGGCTAAGCCAACAGACAGCTCGTGGGTTGGGTTGTTTTTTTGGACCAGACTCCAAACTCCAACTGCGCCACTAAAATAGCCAAACTCCGACCGGGCCAGACCAGTTTGAATGTGGAATGTTCCCTTGCAACGCCCAGCTCTATGTGTATGGTGTCAACAAAAATCTCTGGAGGCTTGGAAATTACCCGAAAAATCAAAAAAACTTTAAGAGCTTTAATCTGAAATATATCTAGTATTTGTATTTAAACAAGTTATTAAATATTTAGCTTAAATACTAAATACTTTACTTCAAATGCCTAAGGTTTTTAGTCTATACAACTCAGCGGTTTTACCTATTTTCTATACATATAATTTCTAAATACATATGTAAATAGATGGTTTTATTAGATTTTTCCCCCTTTTTTCGTTTTTGTGAAAATGCAACACTGCAACTGTCTCTGAACTGATAAATCGCCAGAGCATTATTTATGGCAACTGGTCGGGCCTGCTTCTTTCTTTGACGTACTTGCCATGCATGGTTACTTTTTATGACCGGCACCCATGACGTATGCGCGATATGCGCTCACCGAGACACCAAAGAGACTTTGTTTGCTATTGCATTTAGCGGGGAGCAAACCAAAGAAGCAACAGAAACCACAAACAAACAGGGGAAGCCAACTGCAAAACGGCCTTGGCAGGTGTCGGAAATTATGATCCGCATAAAAAGTCCAACTATATAGTCTATAGTTTATGGAAACCTCAAATCGGTGGGCGGACATTTTGCTTTTCTTGAGTTTCCAAGTTATTTACAAGGTGTGAAAGTGGAGGTTAAAGAAAGTAAAAGAAGAATCTGGAGCCCGGGAAAACCCATCATCAGCGAGTGTAGAAATAGAAGGCGGAATATCTTACGATGGTTTATATTGCTTTATGTGGGCATAGTCTTTCTCCGAAAAGGTTGAAACATATACAAATATTAAGGGGAATTCCCAAGGAAGCAAAACAATCGTCCTGTGAGTTGTATTCTCAGCTTAGATCTATATATCGCCGTCGCCTTCATCTCCGCCTTCATCTGCACTTCCCCCTGAATCACCTCCCCCACCGCCACCGCCACCGCCACCGCCATGGCCTTGGGCTTCGTCCGCCTGATCCAGTGCAATAGCCATGTTCCTGGATTCTGGCCATGGTGGTGGAATGCGCTTGAGCACATTGCGGAAGTAGAGTTCCACTGCAATGATGTTAAAGACTCTCCTCACATTGGTCCCTGTTTTGGCCGATGTCTCGACATAGGTGACGTCATAAAGATCTGCGAGGTGGGCTGCCTCCGCTTGGGACACCTGGCGCTTCTCCCGCTCATCGCACTTGGTGCCCACCAGCAATACATTGACATCCTTAGAGCAGAAGTTGTTGAATCTCCACGCCCACATTGGCAAGTTTCGGAAGCTGCTGCGAGATGTGGTATCAAAAACCAAAATGACTCCCTGAACTTTGCTACAGAGCTCTTGCTGAATGGTATAGAAGCGCTCCTCGCCGGCGACGTCGTAAATGGGTAGGAGGATTATCTTTCTGGACAACCGGACACTGCCATGTCTGAACTGAGTGATCCTAGGCGAGTGGTAATCGGGGTAAAAGCATCCCTCCATGGCACGGCTGAAGAGTGCGGTCTTGCCAACACCCGCGTCTCCAATGATGACGATCCGGTAAATAAAGACATTCATATTTTGTCGAAAAGTTAAGGAATTCCGTCCAGATAGATCCAGTTGAGGCAAAAAATTGACTCGAAATGAAAACAATGACTGACTAGAGTTGACACTTGAAGGTATTGCATGCTTGTTGACCAAAAAGTGACAGATAAAAGAAGTTTACGTTTTAGGGTTGCCACTATACTCAAAAATTCTTTGTTTACCTAACGAGGAAAAGTAAATAAAATACTGCAATGGCAGTAATGTTTGCTCCTGGTAATTAACGCAATTAAACAGCATCGACAGCCGAATCGATCTAGCCAACTGTGACAACATTTTTTTAAATATTTTTAAAGATTTTATATAGGCGGTTGCATTGTTAAAATTTATAAAATTTGCAATTTATAAAATTTTAAATTAATTTAACAAAAAAATATCGCATTAATATATCGAGAAGACACCGAAAACAAATGTAATAAGAAAGGCGAAGAAAATCGTAGCTGATTGATGGTTTATAATTGCTCTGTGTGTGATATAGTTTTTGTCTAAGAAGGTCAGAATACAATCAATAATAATAATCACTTCCAAAAGGAGCAAAATATAAATAAATCGTTATTAAATTTGAAAGAATTATTCCTTCGGAATCGTCTCGTTCTCCAAACCAGCTATATTCTCATCTTCGATCGGTATATCGCCATTGCCCCCATCTCCCTCTCCGCCTTCTCCTGCTCCCTCTGCATCGCCACCGCCATGGACTAGGCTTTCGTCCAGAGCCACTGCAATAGCCATTTTGCTGGATTCTGGCCATGGTGGCGGCACGCGCTTGAGGACATTGCGGAAGTAGAGTTCCACTGCCATGACATTGAAGACATTCTTCACATTGGACCCCGTCTTGGCCGATGCCTCGATATAGGTGACGTTAAACTGATCAGCGAGATTGGCTGCCTCCTCCTGGGTCACCTGGCGCTCCTCCAGCTCATCGCACTTGGTGCCCACCAGAATAACGTTGACCTCCTTGGGGCAGACGTTGCTGAATGTCAACACCCAATTTGACAAGTTTTCTAAGCTGCTGCGAGATGTGGTATCAAAAACCAAGATGACTCCCTGTGCTTTGCTACAAAAATCTTCCTGAATGGTACGGAAGCGGTCCTCACCGGCGACGTCGTCAATGGTTAGGAGAATTTTCTTTTCGTGCAACTGAACAGTGTAATGTTTGAGGTCAATGATTGCGGGCGAGTAGTAATTGGGGTAAAAGTCGTCCTCCGTGGCACGGCAAAGGAGTGCGCTCTTGCCAACACTCGTGTCTCCTATGATAAGGACACTGTAACTATAGTCACCCATTTTTCGTTGAAAAGTTAAGGTATTCCGTTCAGGTAGATCCAGTTGGGGCAAGAAATTGACTCGGAATGAATAAATTAGTAAAAGCAATGACTGACATACGTTGACACTTGAAGATATGATGGTATTGACCAAAAAGTGACAGATAATAGAAGTTTACATCTTAGGGTTGCCTGAAAGGATTGCCACTATATTAAGAAGTTCTTTGTTTAGAAGATAAATACTTAACAAGGGAAAGTACATAAAAATCAGAATTACTCCCGGCTTGCGTTAAGGTCGAAAGCTCAAAGGGCCAAAGAGCGGAAGAGAAGAAAACGGGGAGCCTAGGAAGTCATGGGTACACCCACCTCCATCATCTTATCATGCTTATTGATTTTAATTTTTATGATTTAATAATTGAATGAACAAATTGATACTTTTTGCTCTGAGTTTTCTACTACTTGTGAAAGTGCAGGTGATCCTTGGATAAGGAAAATAAATATACCCCTAAAAAACCCATCGTCAGCGAGTGTAAATATAGAAGGCAGAATATCTTTTGAAGGTTGAAATTGCTTTATGTGGGCATAGACTTTCTCCAACAAGATCGAAACATATATGTAAAAATATTTGTGATAATTCCCAAAGAAGCATAACATTAACATATCGTATTAAAATTTAATAGAATTATTCATTCGGAATCGTTTAGCCATTCAAACCAATTAAATCGTCTCCATTAATCGGTATAGCGTCATTGCCTCCGTTTCCCTTTCCGCCTCTGCCTCCGCCTCCGCTTCCGCCTTCACCATCACCATCTTGGCCTTGGCCTTTTTCCGGCAGGGGTTGTAGCAACATTGGTGGATATACTTCGAGCACCTGGCGGTAGTAGATTTCCTCTCCCATAACATTGAAGATATCCTTTACATTGCCACCAGTCTTGGCCGATGTCCCGATGAAGGTGAAGCCATGGTACCCTGCGTAGTGGGTTGCCTCATCCTGGCTCACCTGCATCTTCTCCAGCTCGTCGCATTTGTTGCCAACCAGTATGATGTTGACATTCTTGTTGCATAATTGTCTGACTGTCTGCAGCCAGAAGGCCACGCTTTTGTAGCTGCTGCGTGATGTTGTATCGAAAACAATGATGACTCCGTGTGATTTGGGACACAAGCCTTGCTGGAAGTGCATAAAGCGTTCGTTGCCGGCGACGACGGCAATTTCCATACGCATATCATTTCCATCCACGAAGTCGAGCCATCCATTCTGAAACTCCAGTATATCCAGCGAGTAGTAATTGGGAATGAAGCTGTCCGTCAAGTACCGCCACAAGAGTGCGCTCTTGCCAACACCCGTGTCTCCCAAGACGAGGACCCTGCAAACGTAGCGACGCATTTTCGACGAAAAGTTAAGGAGTTCTTTCCACAATGATCCAGTCGTGGCAAGAGTTAGATTCGGAATGAAAGAAGTAGAGATGGCAATGACTTTCATGACTCGACAAAAAAAAAAAGCATGGCCAGCTTTTTTAACATTTTAGGGTTTCCTAAAAAAGGATTGCCACTTATGTCAAAATGTTAATTGTTAAGGAGACAAATACTTAACAGAGGATATTTTCATGCTCCAGAAACCATAACTAAAATTCCCTTTCTTTGTTCTTGGGTAAATTTACTAATGACGATAAATGAACAAATCAAATTGAATTATTTTCAGAAATTGATTCTGTTGAAAGACTTTTTATTGGAAAAATCATTGCAATTTGGAAAATCCCCAACAACAACATTCATATAAAACAGTGACCTGAGCGACCTGGTTCTTCCGAACTCTTCTTGTCCTCCAAACGAATCCTATTCATATCTAGGACCGAAACAATGCTTTCGCCTTGGTCTTTGTGCGCTTGATACTGCTTGATACTGCCATCTTCACTGGCTAACCTCATGGATCGTGTCGATGTTGATGGCAAGATTCCGAGCACCAGGCGGTTGTAGACCTCCACTGCAAAGGTTTCAAAGAGAACCTTCACATTGGCCCCACTCTTGGCCGATGTCTCGCAGAAGGAGAGGGCAAAGTGCTCAGAGTAGCGGGCTGCCTTCTCCTGGGTCACCTGGCGCTTCTCCAGCTCGTCGCATTTGTTGCCCACCAGCATGAAATTAACACCCTTGGAGCAGAAGCCACCAAGTTCCTTTAGCCAGTTGTCCACATTGCGAAAGCTGCTAAGGGATGTGGTGTCGTAGATGACCATAACACCATGGGCGTTGCGATAATAATTCGGCAACAAGGCATGGAAGCGCTCATCGCCGGCGGTGTCCCAGATTTGTAGGCCCACCCGTCTACCAGCCACTTCCACATGGCACACATTAAAATCAATGCCTACAGTGGGATGGTATTTGAGAAAGAAGCGGTCCTCCAAGAAGCGACTGGTGAGGGAGGTCTTGCCCACACTCTTGTCCCCCACGAGGAGGATCTTGAAAACGTAGTCAGACATTTTTCGTTGAAAGGGTTAAGGATTTCCGTCTAAATAGATCCAGTTGTGGCAAGAAATTGATTCGGAATGAAAAATTAGAGAAAACAAGGACTGGCACAAAAAAGTGTGGTCAGCTTTTCGATTAATAGCTGATGAGAAAATGCAAAGGGATTAGTTATCGATAAATTGTAATTAAAATACTAAAAAATGCTTCTAAAAAGAGGACCCTGACAAGGTCTAAAAACAGCTGTTCATCAATGCTACATATGTATTGCTTTCTTCTGTCCAACGTATGTTATTGGAATGCAATGTTAGGAAGTACTAAAAGCATTTGATAAGCATTTAGTACTTTTAAGTCTATCTATCCTTTCAAAGGCTATGTAATTTCCACAATACCAATTTAATGGTTTTTATTTTAGAGCCTTAATTGAGTGAGTTATAGACGCTCAATACATATTAAATGGACTTTATCAATGAAAGTGCTGCTCAGTCGTAAAAAAGCCATCCATCAGGGACGTCTTTAAACGATTGCCATTGATGATGATGCGGGAAATTGAGGGGGTGGATATACATACATATATATATATATATATACACCTATATGTGTCGGACTATATCTTGTTTACGATTCTGTCACGGTAGCTGCATCGCACAATTTTTATGGCTAAACTTCCGGTAATCAAGGCGACGCGTACAGCTGCTGCTGCTGCTTCTGTGTTGTCTTTCGCATTTTCGCTTTTTCACAACTTTTCTTTGCATTTCCATTGCAATTTCTTGTTGCCATTCCGGGGAAAATCACCTAGCATTGGGTGGTGCATTTGACCCGTACCCGCAATGGCCTTGGATTCATAAACAATGAAGCTTCAAATAGCAAATGTAGATGCGCCTATACATCTCTATATAGTATTATATATATCTATATCTGAAGCTGTTAAAGAAGATCGGGTGTAACTAGTAGCTAGTAAGCAAGGGGTTGACTTTGGGGAGTGAGTGTGTTGGCCAAGTGGCAAGTGGCAAGTAGCGAGAAGCGGGGCGAACTCTGCACGGTAGCAAAGTCTTTTGATTTATGCGCAGCAATTAATTTTTTGCGCATTTTTGGTTGCTGCCATGGATGTTGCCATGGGGAAGCTGGTGCTGGCGCTGGTGCTCCAATGCTGCCACTGATGTTGCTGCTGCCTACTGACGACACGGCCAGGGACACGGACACGGACATGGAACTATGTAAGAGGCGACAAAGCATCATGAGGGGCGGCACAGTGCTTCAAAAATGATAAAAAAATCCAGGAATTAGTTGCCAAATATAAATGGTATTTCATTTTCATGGAAAGGAGCTTGTGATAATTGCTCAAGACGTAAACTGAAATGTATAGAAGAGCTTTGAATTGAGACATTCTCTTACTTTTGTTCTGAAAAGGTCTTTTGGGATCTTTTACATAAATGGAAACCAACCTGAAGAACTCTGCGTTTTATCCTACAAATATATAAATATATACATATATATATATATAAAAATATATAAATATATATAAACTATAAACCACAGTGCGGCTGAGCACGCAGCACACACACACACACTTCCACACAGACTGGTGGCACTCGTACACACACTTGCCGCAAAAGGTGCGTTCACGCGTAGCAATGCAGGGATTCCCCCCTTCGAATGTGCACCGTTTGTCATTCCCCAGACATAGACGGAGTCCTCCTCCATGCTCCCATGTCTCCATCGCCACCATTATATTTCTGTTCTGAAGTTTTTGCGGCCGAAAATGGGCAACGTTTTGGAATTTTAGTTCCGCTTTGTTGCCAGCATTGCGTCCGTCCTTCTCCTCGACTGTCGCCTGCCGTTGCCTGCTGCTCCTCCTGGTTTTTGTGGTTGTTGTCAGGGCTAAGTGTTTGTTATGATTTATATTGGTTTTATTAAATGTTTCAACAACCTTTTGGCCAAAAATTATTTACTGCAGGCCTCCCTCTCAGAGGCGGAGTAAAGCACGCATGAACGCATTCAGAACGATGGGGGCGTTTGTTGGGTAATGGCCAGACACAGTGTGTGTGTGTGTGTGTGTGTGTGTATGGAGTGTGTGTACTCCAAGGGAGGTGACATTAAAGCCAGCATGTGACAGGTGTCGTGGGCATGCAACAATTTGGCAAGTTTTGATGCAGTTAATGAGCTTAAAGGCTGCAACAAGGAGCAGCATCTGTTCCGTCAAGGAAAATAATGCTAAAAGCTTCACTTAAAAAGGATAACAGGGTGTTGTACAACAGAAGAGTATAGAGTATAGAGACTCTAAAGGATATAACATAATTATAATTATTTAAATAAAAGAAACGAAATAAACGTGTGCTCCCATGAATACCCCAAAAGTTAGATCAGATTGGTTCTATTGTCCCTAGGAAAAAGATCAAATAACATCCCAGAGTGCCCTAAAATATGGTAATTTAATTGAAAAAACATTGTTTCTTCCTTGTCAGAACAAGGTAGCGTTTGGGTTTTGAGTACCGCTTGGATACCCATCAATTGCAAGTGGACTCGGTACTCCCAAACGCACTCCCTCGCCTCCCGTGAACAACTTGTCATGGCAGCTTAGATGACAATGTTGACACAAACTACAGGAGCAGGTGAACCAAAAAGGAGAGTACCGAGTGTACCCAGGAACCGAGCAAACGACCAAGTGTCCTTGTAAGACGTTGCACGTTTTTGACGGCTTTATTGTTTGGCCAGAGTTGGTCGCCCCGCCTGATGCTCCTCTTGGATTTTCGGTTAAAATGAGCACAAAGTGCTCGAAAGTCGTCAAGTCGCTGGCTCGTCTGGGCGAGATGAGGGGGTGAAATGGAAGTGAAGGTGGCCCTGCACTTGAATGACTTTTCATAACTTTATAAAACTTTCCACAACTGCAAGACGTGGCAGTGGCGACAATGAAGAAGATGATGCCAACGCCTCCGTTGCCTGACAATGGCCAAATGAGTGGCTGATACAGAGAGAGAAATTAATAATTAGAATTACAAAATTAGAATACAATTTCTATGCTTTCTACAAAATATAGAGTAATTAATTAAATTAAGATAAAAATTTGAGGTATTTTTTGCTATTCTCCACTTGGATAATTAAAAAGCAAGCTTATATATCCTTTTTAAGGTTTATAATAATATAATTTCGATTTTGTCTGCCTAAAACTAACTCAATATTCGAAGTTCAATCCCTTTTTTTAAAGAAATCAAAATAATATAGGGGAAATTCAAGATTTAAAAGCTAGAAATTATATTAAATAGAATTTCGCATTCAAAAATATGTATTAATTCATTAGCTCATTAAGTTTTTTGTGTGTACCTAAGGGTAGGTTAAGGGGAGCTGAAAGGGGCTGAAAAATAGCGCTAAGACGGAGCCAAAGTGGGTGGAAAGTGGAAAAACCCCATTGGCGGGGGTCACCTTTTCCTGTCTTGGCACGTTTCCGCTTCCGTTTAGTCTCCGTCGCTTACACTTGAGCATAATGAATATTTTGCCAAATTGAAATGTTGCCTTTTGTTACTGTTGTTGTTGTTTTTGGTGGCCCCACTGTCCCCACAGTACTGAAAATATATAACCTCTCGCCCCAACCCCTCGGCGACCAGTCACTTTCACTTTACGACTGCCTTGGCGGCTGCATAAATATGAAAAATGTAAAATTTAATATGCAATTTACGTCACTGGAAAGTTGTTTTCCTCATCCTATCGCTGCTGCTGGCTGCTTCTTTGGGTCCTTTCAATTTGCATATTTCCTTACCCTCCACCGCCGCCGCCGCCATGTTCTTCTTAATGTTTTACACTTTTGTTTAGAGAAGTGGCCTTTCTTTACTTTTCCTTACTTGGACGGTGGAGGGGCAATGGTTTTTATGTCTCTGGTCATCGGTTATTGTCTGGGGAAATTTGGAGTGCGTCTGTGGCAAATGTGCGATGAATAAATGGGAGCGTTGGTTCCCCCCAAATGGGGATAATTCGAAGCTGGACGGACGGACAATTGCATAATTGTCCAAGCGGAGATTTCAATAGAAGTCAAGTCTAGGGAAGGTACTAGAAAAAAAGGACCTTAAGAAGATATTCTTGAAGAAATTCTATATAAAATAGTGGGAATTTTCGGTATAATAAACAGTTATCAAGGTGTATAAATAGAAAAATAACATTTCCTACATTACTATATATATTTATTATACTATTATTATACATGTTATATCTACGCGATATGATTCTGTCGATACATCATATTAATGTTGATATAACATCCCTAGAGCCGGCCCTTGTCCAACTCGCTGGCATTGAAAGGTGACTTGTGAGTTGCGGGACCTCGAAATCACGGCTTCACAGCTTTTGGGCCACAGCACTCACCCATTTGCAGTCACTCATTCATTCGTACGAGTATCTGTATGTTCATTCAGTCGAAATGATAGACAGACAGACAGACAGTTGTATGCTAAATATGATTGATATCCGCACAAAGAAATCGCTCAAGAGCAGCTCATGTTTTCTATGCCAATCAATAGAGGGAGAGAGAGAAAAAAGGCAGGAAAAAAGTGATCAGTCATCCCACTATCTATCGATTCGCTGGGCCTGCTCCGAAGATGACAAAACAAAGATTAATGAGGAAGCATTCACGATGATCCCCATATCCATGAGATACTTTCAACAGAGACTCTTGCTCATCGTCCCAGACCTTTGAGCAATTTGAGCAGCTCTAATTAAGTTAATTGAGTCTCTTTTGATATAAACCTCAAATTAGTTTAATAAACTGCGGTGCGAAATGTGTGAAAAATCTTTGGGAAAATATGGAATACCCTTGGATTGATACTGAAGAAATCAAAGTCTATAAAACAACATTAAAAACTAGTTATTAAAAGAGTTTTACAACTAAAAATATTCTTTATATCCCTGCCAAATTTTGCTAAATTATTAATTAATGAAGCAACAAATTTCTCAGCTTTAAATAATGGTTTTTTCCTCAACTCTCACTGCTAAAAATATTCAAATATAAATATTAAATACCCTTTTCCTCTGACATTCTTAATACCCCTGGCATTAGGTTACAGAATTTCGGGATTAGATGATGACAACAGAGAAGCAGGCAGCAAATAAATTAATTATGTTAATCTGTTTACATGTCAGCCGCATTAGAACGAGACATCTTTGGGATGTGAGTGTTTGGGGGATGTGGCTTAGTTAATAAAGCAAACACCTGTCGCACTTGAGACGGCTCCTTCCAACAAGTATACGCAGCGTTGACAAACTTAAAACGCTCAAATTGCACAAAACTTTTGACAATCATCGAGACCCATCATCATCATCGTGATGATGGCGAATGGCCATGATGATGAGGAGAGGATGGCCTCGGTCCTAGACATCATCAATTTTCAGAATCACACAGAGTGCAAAAATGGGAATGGGATACAAAAAGACCACAAAACACTTGGGGGAACAACGCACAGGACAGAAAGTTTCTGCGGTTTTTTGGCGACAGAACAGTGGTGCAAAAATGATTTTAAATAGAAAACTTGTTACTTTTGAATATTTTCATACAAAGATCAATTCAAATATTCCTTTAAAATATAAAATAATCTGTTAAAATGAATGTCCTATGTATAATTTACTTAAAAAATGGAATCTCTTGTTAAATTTCAACTCTAAGTAGGTTTAAAAAATCCTATATGATTTATAATATATTTATTCTATTTAAATTCCCAATTAAGTGTCATGTAACACTGTTTCAGTTAGCCATTGTAACTGATGTTGATGAGGCATCGTGCACTTTAAGCAAATTAGTTACGCAGCTCATGTTCGCGTAGATCCTTCTGAACCCCCTCCCTAAAAGCAAACTCAAACCCGTATCCTTGCCCAAACCCATCTCGGAACCCCCATCCTTCCCTATGCTACATACATATGTATGTTGGCAAACAAATTTAATAAATAGCTAAACACACACACAAAAGTCACAACCCTTTGTACCAGTCGCAGGAAGAAAAGGGAAGGGATGGATGAATGGTTGGTTGGATGAAAGGAAGAAGGAAGCCACTGGTCCTCAACCCTCTCACACATAACCCTCACATTCTCCCTCTCCGGAACATAGAAATAAAAGGGACATATTCATATTTACCCAAGTTTATGGAGCCTGGTATTTGTCTTTGGTTTTTGTCATCGCCGACATTGCGGATTGCCACATAAAATATAACACTTCATTTGCAGAGAACCCCCCCGAAACATTTGTCTTGGCATCGTTTTTGGGTCTCTCTTCTGGTTTCTAAGGCTTTTTTCTTTTGGTTCTTTACTTTTTGTTGGTGTTTTTCCTTGCGGGGAATTGTTGTTGACGCCTACTTAAATGGGGTTGAGAGTGGGTGCCCACTATGCTAGTTTGCTCTTGGACGGGCCTCATAATTTATATGCTAAACATATTGCGCTTACATGGATTACCACAATATCTATATATATATATATAGGAGTAACATTTTCGTGTTACGCATTTTGGCTGAGACCAAGGGAGGCTGTCGGAGTTGGAGCTGGCCAAGCTGGTTAGTTGGCTTTGTGCCACAATGTGTCAGCGACAGTTGCCTTCTCCGCTTGACTGGAGTGGCTTCTAATGAAAAGGTTAAGGTTGAAGAATTTTGCAGGGTTTATAAAGCTGCTTAATATTTGGGGATCCGTGTTGAATTTTTAGCAAAAAAAAAGGAGTTTATTTAAACAAATTATATAGGGTAGATGTCCTTATTGAGGTGCTAAAGACAGCAAGATATGTTGTTTAGGATATTATCTTAATATTAGAGCTGTTCTAATCATAGGAGAGATATTCAAAGAGCAAAAGCAGCTAAAGAGAACTATCTGAGAACTCTTTGAGTACCTAATTTAGACTTCAATTTTTACTACATTGGCTGCAATTTCATAAATTTAAGAGCCTAATTTAGACTGTTATTATTACTACAAACATCGCTTCAACAGAATCATACATGATTAATAGCTTTTCTCAAAAAAGAGTAAACCCTCAAATAGTTAACCACGAATTTGAAACCTTTTTCTGCATTTGCATTTCCATTATTATAATTTTTTTTTTGCCAAAACTCATCCGCTGGTGTTGACCTCGTGCGTCGGTTTGTGATCCCGCCCAGTTCAACACTGGTTGGCCCTGACGCTGCTGCTGCTGCTGCTGATTATAGTGATGATTCAGCTGTCGGTCAACACTGACCTGGCTTAACCCATTACGGTTGCCTCTTTACTCTGGCAACGAAGCATGCCCGACCATTCCCGCGAAACGCTCAGCAGAGCGTGAACCCTTCACAGCCCATTGCCACAGTCTTGCCTGTGGATAAGTAACCCTTCTAGATCAACATCTCCGTTTCTGTTTATCATCTCCCGCTCCAACATTTGGTCAGTTTGGGGTTCCGGGAATACAACTACAGTTCCGGCTTCACTTATGGCCAGAAGCACACTCTTTAAATATTGTTTTAACCCATAAAGAAAGATAAAAATGGCTAAAGACGAGCTATTATTTTCGATTTCAACAAAGTGCAGACCTAGCTGGCACTCTTCCTTCTATATTCCCTAAAATAATAGGCTTCTAATTCCCTAAAGAGAAAATACGTATGGAATTATCTTAATTTTTAAGTAATTAGGGGTCTAATAACTCTATAGGAACTTCAAATACTTAATGTGGAATTATATAAAGAAAAGAAATCCCCTGACTTACCCCTGTTGAAAACGCTGATGATGGAATCGTTGATGATGTTGGCCTTGTCCGGGCAGGCGACGTTGCATGGCCAGAGGCGAGTGCAAGTGGGCAGCGTGGCCGCTACCGCTTCCATTTCCATTTCCGTTGCGAGCATTCCAAAGCGGTAGCCGTTGCACTTTTTTTACTTCCGGCGACAGGCCAGCAATCCTTGTGGCCGCCGCACTTGCACTCAACGGCGATGTCCTATTGGCCAAATCGCTGGCATCGGTGTCTGCGTCCTCGTCCTGCTGCTGCTCCTCCCTCGCTGGCAGCTTCTTTTCCAGTGGCCGACTACGCCTAGGGGGGCGTGACAGTGGCTTTGGAGCAATGCGTCGGCGTAGCTGCAGTTGATTCGATGTGGTGGACATAGAAGCCGCCGTTGTTGCGGTCACTGTTGTGGCCGCCGATCGCACGGACTTTAGCTTGATGTCCATCAGGCCAAAGGGATGTGAATTAGTATTATTGTTAACATTATGAATATTATTATTGTTACTGATACTGTTGTTGTTGTTGTTGTTGTGGTTCCACTGATGAGGTCTCGCCGCCTGCAGTTGGATGGGTTGCTGCAACTGATGATGATGCTGATGATGATGGTGCAGCTGTGGCTGTGGATTCGCTGCCATTACTGCCCCCGCTGTGGTTGCTGGTGTTGTGGTGGCAGCATGACTTGGCGCCGATCGTAGATCGTTCAGCATTATGTCCAGATCGCTGGCCAGCGAGCTGAGCAGCTGCAATTGAACACAAAAAAGTACACAAATTAGAAAACATTTCAACACTTGTTGGCGATTGGCGGTTGGCGTCGCTTGGTTGAGTGTGACCGTTTGCATTTTGTTTGAAGAAATACGGTAAAGCTTAGGGAAAAATACTAATGCAAATACTATATACAGAAAAGTGTTGTAAAACGTCTAAAATTGCATTCAAATGTAATATTCAAATAATCGAGAGCTAGGAAGATTTTTATATATAACGTAGTTAAGTGTCTGATGTCTCTTAACCCTTTTTTGCATATAAGAACCTTTTGAGATATCCTTTTTTTAATAAATTGTATACATTTGCAGAGACAACCGCTGGGAAATCGTTGTATATATGCTATGTGGAAGATCAGGTACGTGATTTTAACATTGGCTTAACATAGGTTTAACATACATAGATTTAACATACCTAGGTTTAATATACATAGGATTAACAGTCTAATCCTCTACTAGCCTACAACAGTTGGGTTCAAGTTTCGGTACACACTTTAAACATATGATAAAAGCAACCCACACTGTATTGCTCGAAAGAGAAATCATCGTTACAGCCGTTTGTACTGATTAACAATTAACTTGGCCAGCATTGCAGCTAACGAGCAAAGTCTGTGAAGATTCTGGGTTAATGAACGGATGTCTCAAGTGCCGGCGACACGTCATCGGTCATGGGAATCAATTTTATATATCAAATTTTATGCTATATCATGTTTACAGGGGGAAACCAAGAGGCTTGTGTGAAAAGTCAAATGCCTCAAGGGGACAGCTCTGCTGCAAAGGTCAAGAAAAACCAGGAGAGCTTTGTTTATATATCTTTTTTTAAATATATATTATTATGATAATGATATATATTACATATTATTTCGTTTGAATATTCCTACTTGTTATCTCTGTATTTTTTTCTGTCAGAATTCGGTGGCACTTGGACTTAGCCTTCGTGTCTGGGTCCGTGGGGAATGTCCGTTACACAAACACCGAGGATTGGGTGTGGGGTTTCTTGAAGCTGGGCTTGGTGTTAGGAACCGGAGGCGCAGTTGGGTGCTGAATACCTGCCCAACTGGTCCCCACTTCCGGCGGTGGTCTGGCGGCAAGGCCTTGGCTCCGTCGATCTCCAATAATTACGCGCCACTGTCTCGGCTAATGCAATGGCAACGGGTTTTCGGGCCACCTCCTAGCCTCCTAGCGCCCACTCCCAGACGGGGGAGTTGGTGATGGAGAGGTGGTCCATGTGCAACATGGTTAAGTTAACCATGTCCCAAGTGCCAAAAAAAAAGAGCCAGCAAAAGGCAGCAAACCGGCTCCCACGCTCTGTGCTAATTTGATCTCCACTTCTGTTTCTCGCTATGGTTTTTTTTGTGTGTCTGTTTTGGTATTTATAAATATTTCTATGGTTTTTCAGTTTTTGTTATTTTTATTATATATTTTTTCCTTTATTTATTTTGTTTTTGTGGCGGTGTTGTTGTTGCCGTTTTTGTTTATGGCCTGCAAGCCCGCAGAAATCGAGTTATATGCAAATGCTGGCCGAAAAAGTGAAGTGGAAAAAATCGGGGAATGAATTGCTGATGTGAGCCAAGACGACGACGAACGATCGTTGCAGAGGAAATGCAAAATTGTCTGGGATAATGTGCAACACAAAAGAGATACAGCCAGTTTCATAATCATAAGTCAACCATGAGATATTTCAAGAGAATACAAATAAAAATGGGAACCATAGGAATATTTTCAGAGAATGACAAGGAATAAAGTGTTTTGCTTTCAACTTGTAAACCCAAACAATCGGTTTTTTTTATATCTTATTAAGATCAAATTCATTGGGTTAGAATAGCAGCTGAATATGTATTATATTATTCCCTTAAATAATGATTATTGTGAAAGGATTTTAAAAGCTGAGTATTTGCATAATTTATTTATTACATTTATTTTAATACAAATACTCAGAAGCTTGTGAAGGAGTTATTTCCGACCCTATAAATCATATACATTCTTGATCAGCATCAACAGCCGAGTCGATCTAGCTATCTCCGGAAGAAAAATAATTTTTTTTAATTTTTTTTCAAAAATTTTAAGGTGTTTCATCGTTAAAATTGGCAGAAAATTTTATCAAAATTTCAAAATTATTTAAATTTTAAATTGAGTAAGCAGATTTATTAACCTACTAAAAACTAACATAGGAAAGCTTTCCGAATCTAAATTAATGCTTTTTTGGCTTACTTATGAGTTTTTAAACTTTGATTTATCGAATATATTTTCATATTAAAATATCCATAAATATCAGGGTATTATATTTTCGTTTGAAGCCTATAACTCATGAAATAGTAATTTTCGACCCTATAAATCATATATATTCTTAATCAGCATCAACAGCCGAGTCGATCTAGCCATCTAAGGCAGAAAAATAATTTTTAAAATTTTTTTTCAAAAATTTTAAGGGGTTTCATCATTAAAATTGTCAGAAAATTTTATCAAAATTTCAAAATTATTTAAATTTTAAATTGAGTAAGCAGATTTATTGACCTACTAAAAACTAACATAGGAAAGCTTTCCGAATCTAAATTAATGCTTTTTTGACTTAGTTATGAATTTTTTAAAACTTTGATTTGTCGAAAAAAAAATGTCACATAAAAATATCGGTTCAAAAAATGCGAGTATTTTCGTTTCGATCCTATAATTGATTTGCAAACTTCAAAGGTATATAAACTTGGTTTTTCCGAAGAAAGTTTCCATTCTCATTTGATTTAAAACTGTCCTTGTTTCTACCCTTCACAACATATTTTGTTTGAAAACTATCCTTTGCGACCCTTGAAATCAATCCGCATCACGTATACGCCCCGTTGAACTGCTCAATTCTATCCAAAATACAAAAAAGACCCCTTGGGTCCAAGCCCAGACAAGAAATCAACTTAAACACATGGATTAGCATGTAATATGCCACACTCCCAGGCAAACACACGCGAGACAAAGACATAGACAAGCCAGCCAATTGAGCAATTGCCACGGCAAACAAATTCAAATTGAAAATGTGGGCAAAGCTACAACAACAACAACAATAAATCCAACAAAAATTCAAAAACAAAATTAAAATAAAACGAGACTCGACTCGACGCGACTCAACCGCAGAGTGTCTTGTTTGAAGTACAAACAAAACTTCAATTGGCTGTAAACGAACGCCGGGAGGGGGATGAGGAGGAAGTCAGTCGGTCGGCAATTTCAATTTAAACATCATAAAAAAGAGCGAAACAAAAACGTTAAGGAGGAGGAATTGCCGATTATTTTGTATAATATTGCAAATTAAATTAAGCAAGCATCCCCCAGTAACCCCTTGACTTACCGCTATGGCATCCATCACCGCATTAACCATTTTTCCTTGGTTATTTCTCCCCGTCTTTGTGTATCTCAGCTCCTTATTGTTGCTTGAGTCTTGAGTCTGTCCCCTCCGCCAAGTCTCTTATGATTTATTCAAAGTTTTTGCACAATTTCGTCTCCAATTCATTGGGATCTTCCTCTGCGCCCGCCTGCTGCATCTGTTGACATTTAATTAACGTCCACCATTTGCGCTTGGGCGACAGGTGCCGCCGGGACACTGAACCCGTTGCCGATCCGAGGGTCTGCACTGAACTGGACACTGGACTGGACACGATAGCACGTTCACTGTGGGCAGAGGGAAAGAGAGATAGAGAAGAGTGGGTTAGAGTTATGGTCTGGGAATCGGGGAGATGGAGGAGCAGCTCCAAAGGCGTTCCATGGATTAGAGATTCAATAACGAGCCAGATAAATGAGTTTGAAATTGAGATCAGGGTTGCTTGTGCCCTGTGGGTGTGGTTATCCAAAGGAGGATCAGATTGGCATGCCAATCAGATATTGTATATATGACAAAATAATATAAAACAAAATAATACAAGACAAAATAATTTAAGGCCAAACAATACAAGACCAAACATAAATAAATAAAAAGAAGCTTAAGACTCTAATTGAAAAAGGAATATTTTTGCTAAAAGTTTTCTATTATTAATAATATTAACTAACTGATTTTGCCATAGGTTTTCTATTATGTAGAAAACAAGTAAGAAAAAGGAAGCCGAAATTGATAACCGATCAAAACTAAGGTTAAAGTATTGGCTTCATTTGAATCAAAATTTATCGATCTTTTTATAGGGCAATTTTTTCGATAAATCAAAATTTTGTTTATTTCATAACTAAGGCAAAAAAACAGTAATTTCAATTCGGAAAGCTGTTCTGTGCTAGTTTTTAATATATTAATAAATCTGCATACTCAATTTAAAATTTTAAAAACTTTAATTTTTTATTAATTTTTTTATGACAATTTTAACGATAAAACCCCTTTGAAAATTTGCAAAAAATTTATAAACATTTTTTTTTGTGGGAGATGCCTAGATCGATTCGGTTTTCGATGCTGATCAAGAATATATATGATTTATAGGGTCGGAAATGATTCCTTCATTGCGTTTTAAGCTTCTGAATATAATTATAGTACCCTGCAAAGGTATGAAAAGGGAAAACTTTGACTCAGTTAGATGCCAGACTTCCCCTAGTATTTAACCAGACATCTTCAACCAAAATGAAATAATAAAAAGTGAGAAAAAATATATATAGCAAAAAGAAAAAAGACGACATTGCGCGACTGTCTAAAAGTGAATGTATCTTGCAGATACATTCATACGTTTTTAATTAAAAAACCATGCACAGAGCCATCCGCAGCACTGCCCTGTCCAAACATTGGACCAAAGTTTGTTTGACAATGTCCGTACCGGGGAATCCCCCGGATACCTCTCTCTCTTACTGCCACGCATGGTGCTGATGATGGCGATGAAGTAGAAGTAGATGTTGAGTGAAATAATAAAAAAAGAAAGAAAAGTAAACGAAATAAAATGGAAAACTCGTTTCACGTATTTTTCCACAATTTTCCGCATTTTATGCTCATTAATTACATTTTCATTTCAATTTCTGCATTTACATAACCATTTAATTTCAGTTTTCTGTGCGAAACACTTGAAAAAACGGAGTAGGGTAATGTTTTACAACTAATTTGAGTTAATTTATAGTGAATGATTGCTAATTAATATGAAACTTTAGTAAAATTAGGAAAATCTAACAAAATACTACTCAAAAATTGTATTATTTTGTAGATATAAATAGGATATCTCTGATATGATATCATAGGGAAAGCTCTTGCTTAAAGACTCCCTAATTTTCTTTACGTGCACATCTGTCCGCTCAGATACATTTCGGCGTGTTGGCTTTTTATGTGTGCTGAACTGGCTCAAAGCCTCGAAATTCCTCGGCCAGTTGACGGAAGTTGAATTGCAAATGAAATTGTGCCCAGTTCAGATGCCAGATACAAGATACGCGTGTGTACACACACTCGCACACACAACCTGAAGTTTGACTTCAACTTTAAGGTTGAAATGCATTCCCAAAATCGCTGGCAATCAAACGAGAAGCGTGAAAAAAATACCTCAACGATCTGACTGTCTGTGACAAAAAACAAAAAGATATACATATACGAATAAATATATACGAAATACGCTCATTACAAAAGCTTTAAATGCATACAAAATGAGCGTTTTGTTTCAAAGCTGTTATTTATTTAGCTCCTCGTTTCCCTCCCTTGGAAGGCATATAAATTGTTTACTTACTGAAAATGGAATTGTTTACAATTTAGTAGAATTTTATGGCAGTCAAGGTATAGGATGTCAGACTTCTGGGGAAAATATTAAATATAACTCCATAGCTGAGAGCCGTGACATAGTGTTTTCAGTGGTAGTAAGTTATATATTGGATTGGTTCAACAATAAAGAAAAGCTTTTAATTGTTTCTTTATGATTTAAAATTAATTTGCACATCAATGGGAGATTTATAAAGTGTTAGAAGAGAGTTAGGTTTATATATAAGATTAAAATATTATATTTCTTAACCTTTTTTGGGAAAATTAACGTTTAAGTTCATAGTATTTAAGCTTTAAAGACTCTTCTGTTATTTTTAGGTTTTCTTCTTTTAATTATGAACTTTATTCGAGGTGTATCTTTATTATTTTTTAATAGAGTTCTTTAATAAAGTTTATAGTTGGCCAACTAATAAACATCATATATTCTTATATATATTTCCTATTACTAACTTCGTTGTGGTTATTTTATTTAGTAGAGTATCTTATATCCTTTTACTTCATAATTTTCTCATAAATCTATTCCTATTATTTTTGGGGTTTTTATGCTGTTTCTTTATAATATATTTTATACTGCTTTTTTATCTATTTCTCTTCTTATGAACAAGTTTATTAAGGCAGTTTTTTGTACTTTAATAGAGTATCTCTTGTGTCGCTGCTTTCCAGCCTTTGTTTGGGTTTCAGATAGCTTTGTTTACCATTTTCCCCAATGGGCTCGTCTCTCTCATTAAAAAAATGTGATACAAGAGCCGGTCTAAACAACAAACAGATTGAATTGAAGAGGAAATATTCGAGGCATGAAATATCAGTATCAATAACACTAGCCGGTTAACGAGGCTGTCGATCGGGGCGATCTCATGGGTTTATCAATATATATTGCTTTGTATATTTATATTTCAGCTGCTTCTCCGATTCGGTAATTTATTGAATTTGTGTTAAGGTTAAATAGCAGCGTGAAATTGAAATGAATTGTGTGATATTAAGTCAAATGATAGCCGTTTTAGATGCGGATAAAGGGAGGTGGGGAATGGGGAATCTCAGGCGACAATCTTTGACTCTTGGGAGCGGGAGCGGGAACGGGGACGGGAGCGTGTTGTCTTTATCGCTCGGCCTCGTTCTGGCCTCTGGGCCTCGCTCTGCCGATAAACCCGAGCCCGACTTTAAATTGAATGATAAGCACGCCTCAGTTGGGGCTGCCAGACCAAGACCCAGAATCCGGAATCTCTGGTGATGATCGGTCTTAATGATGGTCGACGGATGGGCAATGGGCTTCAGGCTCAATTGGGGCCGAAGGTGATTTTGTCGCCAAGGCGAATTCGATCGAATATTGTGGCCACCCAATTGATTCACTCTATAAATCAATTGATATGGTCTACACAGTGAGAAAATATGACAAAAAAGGGGGTACTTTTAATACAAAAATTATAGTTTTGTGAAGATTATGAAAGGAAAACTAACAAAAAGTCCAATTTATTGGTCTAAAAACTTTAAAATACCTCAAGTAAAAGTGTTTTTAAGTTTGTAAATTGTTACTTTGTTTAGAAATAAATATTTTTTGTGCTTATTCAGTGTATTTTTGAGAGTGGCACTTGTCAATTGAAATGCATGTGGGTCAGTTGCAGCTGCCATTGGCGACGGCAATGGTTCCAATCAGCGAACAACAAGTGTCCCTTTAATCAATCTGCACAATTGCATTGGCGTCACAGCAATCGAAATGCGATATGCAGTCCAAAGGCTATCTACCAGATACTGTATCTTTATCTGTATCTGTATCTGTATCTGCATGTGTATCTATCTGCCGACAAGGCAGATCGCATTGACCAAGGTCAGTAGTATTGGAGTGGTTAGACCAGATCCAAGATACGCACTTCAATATAGTATCCATTCGGTAGCTCTCACTTTCTGTAGCAGAACGCCAAAGGCCTAAGAAACTATGTGGCTGAAAAACTGACTACATGCAACTATCCAGCGAGCAAACAAAGCCACCAACAAACAACAGGCAGCAAACTGGCAAACAAACATCCAACTGAAGGAGACACAATGCGATGACGACAGTCGTCCAGGACAGCGACGCCGACGCAGACCGCCAACGATATCAGCAGCCGTAGGCAAATATAACGCACCAACCCGAAAAAAGAGAGAAATAAAAATAAGAGGCAAGAAATAGAGCCTTTGAAGAGTGTTAAGACATTAAAATACCCGGTACTTGCTAGTATGATCAATAAAGATACGTGAAAATTATCGTAAATATCGAAAACTTTGGTTGAATATTACCAAAAATAATTGTAAATTGTATCGAAGGTTTATTAGGGACCTCAATAAATTCAACGCAGTGCTGAGCCTTTAAATATATATAAAAAAGAGTTGGTAACATATACTAGGAACAATAAATGAAAAATTCATAAAATAAAGTTATCAATAAAAAGCTATTATAATAAATAAATAGATATTATTAATATACATTTCAAAATTATCTTTTTGAAACCACAATATCCCATTTTAAAATTGTTCTGATTAAAGATCAGATCATATTTAAGATCACTGGGTATGTAGAGGAGTCCATGGAGGAAACATTTGCGTGTGCAGCGCATGGCAACCGAGTTGCGAGTAAGAAGTGGCACCAACTTGCTGAAATCTTGAGGCAGCCGCGGAAGGAGGCAAAACTGGATGAGGGACAGCAGGAGGATGGACGGATGGATGCCTTGTTTATGAATACGCGGGCATTGTCTGAATGTGATGCAGACATGCCACGACCAGGAAGAGGTGGAGCAGAGGCGATGAAGAGTGGAATTGGCTGGCCAAAAAAAAAAACACATCAACTCGAAACAGCAAATATAGATACATTGCCGGGCACAGATACAGAGATACATCTACAGATACAAGCATATACAGATACAGATACATCTACGGCATCCAGAGGCCGAGTGTTTGGAAACTAAACAAGAAAATATTGACAAATAGATTAAAACTTATTAAGGGAGCTACAGAGGCTGGCGCAAAAATTGAGGGAACCCTGAGCGAGCTATGGAAAGATGGAAAAAAATGTGGCATGTAGCCATGTTGCCATGTAGCATTCAGCATGCGGCATGTCGCGTGGGGTGACATGTTGCCCTGTTGCCCGATCTGCTGTCTGCCACAACACGTGCAGGCAACAGGCTCTAGGCTACAGGCAACATATACTAGGCCAACATTTTAGTTACACCGGGAAAAATATACCATTTTGATTGATACATTTGATGATTAAGTTCTTACTCTTCTTACTAAGCTTTTATTTATAGCTTTTATTATTCACAATTCGAAGAATATGCTAAGTTTATTTTACAAGCGAAGTTTACTTGATTTGAAAAGTACATGTTTTCGTAGAGAACTGACCTCTGGTTTAAACTTATGATAATATGTAGTGCTCACTGTTACAGCAAATGCTGAATAATAATATTATCTCCCTCTTCTCCTCAAAATTTATTTAAGATTTTATTTAAAATTTCATAAAAAATATCTGGTAGCTAGAATATCAGATATTCTCTTTGTTCTGTGTACTGACAGTGCCCTGCCACTTGGTATGGGATTGGGGCAGGTTCAGCCACGCACACTCATTGCCAATATTTGCCATCAAATATGGTCGAAATCTATATTTAGCCGCTGACGATCCGCCGATCGATCGGTAGATCGGTCGATCGACAGGCCCCAGAGATCGCATACGATCGTCTTCCTTCAGGCTTGGCCTCGAACCCAAAACCGGAGCGTTGCGATCTCTGGTAACTGGCTTTCTATTGGAACAGTTGGCCACAGCGGTTAGCGTAAACAGCCGAAAGCAAAACAAAGCTGAAACAAAAACAAAGAGTGCGACTTGGGTAACTATTTTTCTGTTGCTGTTGTTTTATTTATTGGTATTTTATTTTGGCTGCTGCGCCCACATGGATTCGGTGCTAAATGATCGGCAAACCGATCGATCGATCCAACGATGCAGCAGCGCATTAGTCAAAGCTGTCTTTATTTTGGACTGCGAAACCGATGCGAATAATTGTGTTTCGTGTGGGAGGTGGCAAAGGCCGTTTGGAATCCGGCTGAGATCATGCCCTCCGGTGGCTAAGGGCTACCGAACACTGGTCTGTATTCGGCCACATAATGATCACCAAATAGTTAATAAATGATGATCTGGAATCCACTGAGATCACTCAATCAACTGGACCATGTCTTGTATTATTTAATCAGGGATTATCATTTGAGATGGGCCATAGAATAACAGCTTTAATCGACAGATACATCATCATACCAACAATTTGTGGGAAAATACTTATATTTAAATGTTCATTGAGATAAGCCCGAAGTCTGAAGATGAAAAAATATATATAAATATGTCTGGATTAGCTAGTTCCAGCGGAGATCATTAGCGGAGTAAACAACCGGCGATCGCTATCGCAACGAAGACAGCGATTGACGGGAACAGGCTGGCACAGGTAACACTACCTGGGACTGACCAGGCGGAGCAACCCATTGATAAGGCTGGCTGGCTGCCATAACATATAGTGGACGACTATCTAGAGCTAATAAGTACGACAACCGCAAATTGCATGAGAAATTCCATATCGCCACGCAGAGCGTTGAGGTGCGGGGCGGTTTCAAGGGGTGGGACAGGTAGAGGTAGTGAGACACAGGTAATGACAGTAAACATTCTCAGCTATCAGCAATCTGCTGCTGTTGCCGCTGCACGCACAGTGTGAGAAATTAAGGGTAAGGTTAAAAGTGACATTAAAAGCAAAGGAAACTTACAGAAAACCTTAGTTTGATTCTTCAAATCTTTTAAAAAATGTTGTAAAACAAAGGTATTAACAAAACCTATAAGGGATGACAGTATTATTCTAAATTATTAATTATTTTAGTGAAATTAATTCTGAAATCATACTAATAATTAAATTGAAAAGATTATGAAAAGTCTTAGTTGGGAATTCTAGTATCACCGCTTAAAGATTATTATATTGCTCAGCAGAAATATTTATTTACTAAATATTCCGAAACAGCTTAATATTTCTTAATGGATTTGAATATTTTAATTATTTAAAAAATAATTTAGTTAGGAAATTAACTTATTTAATTTTTCCTACACTTTGTAACCTGAAATTTCGCTCTGTGTAACCGCAGTGAGGTAATGGTCGCTATTCTCGAGGTGGCATCGCTTTTGGTTTCGCTTATGGTTTCATGTTTGGATTTGGGTTTTAGGTTCTTGGTTTTCGTTACTCGGTTTTGGCATGCGATAAGAGACCCGAGAGAGAGAGCGAGAGAGAGGGATAGAGTTTAAGCCATCTTTTGTGGTCTATTGCCAGAGAGTTACCCCCACAACCGAGCAGGAACATTAACTGATTAGCAATTTTGAGCAATTGGCGGCAATCCACACAAATTATCAAAATTTCTGCTGTTTATCATCAGGTGTGCGATAGCAGAGGGTTTCGGCGGGGAGAAATAAGAGGAAATGACAACCACAGCAAGAATGCGTACGATGAGGTGGGTGGGAAGGAAGAGAAGGGGGAGAAGGAGGAGAAGAAGGTGAATGCGAATGCCTGGCCGATTAGCAATCCACTGTCAAAACGCATTGAAAGCGAAAGACGACACAAAAGGGAATGCGGCCCAAAAGGTGCAATGTACTGTACGTTTTAAAGGCAGGGAGTCAGTGGAGACTCTGAGAGGGAGCGAGAGAGCGTAGAGAACAAGGCAAGAAGAGAGCCTAACACTTGCAGAAAAACCAAGTCCTATCTTTGGGAACATCTCCATAATATATTTATACAATTTGTCACAAAAGTGTTTTCGCACGAACTTTTTCTTATATTTTTCCCAATTTTATTAATATAAAACAACTATGAAATAAGTTTTGAACAAATTTTTTTATTATTTTATATTCTACATTTATTTCTTAATAGTATTCAAAAAACAAAACTTAAATTCTTCAATTAACAAAAAACATATAACAAAAACAAAAAAAGTCTCCCTAAAGCCCACTGTCACAAAAGTGTTTTCGTTTTTACCATCTCTGCTGTTTCTCGTCTTTCGCATATGCTTGTACCGTTATAACGGTAGTTTTTCTGCGAATAGATGAAATTAATGTGCATTTCGAGCATTTCGTGGTCATTTTTTGGTTATATGCAGACGGAGACAGTCGAGAAATTAAATGTTTTACAATGCCAGGAAAACGAGTGTCGTTCGATGTAACACAACTGGTGTATTACAACCATAACAATGGAAAAACCACTGCAGAACTTGCAAGTATGTTCAAGCTGCATATACGCACTGTCCAAAATATAATAAGTCGCGCAAAAAATGAAAATAGACTCGAAAATAAACCAGTAAATGGTCGGCCGAGTAAGCTCTCTGACAGAGTAATTCGTCTTATTATGAGGAAGGTGGACCAGAACCCCATGATCTCGACAAGACAACTGGCGGCTGAGGTGAGAGAGGAATGTGGAGTGGATGTTTCTCATGAAACTATTCGAAGGACAATTAAAAGCAATAATTTTACATCCCGGGTAGCTAGGAAGAAACCTTTGCTATCAAAGGCAAATGTTGAGAAGCGCCTTTCTTTTGCAACAATTCTTGTAAATGAACCCCAAACTTATTGGAACGACGTTATTTTTTGTGACGAGTCGAAAATAATGTTATTTTATAACTTGGGACCCAACCGAGTGTGGCGAAAGCCGTTGACAGCTCTAAACAATAAAAACATAATACCGACAGTAAAATTCGGCAAATTGTCCGTCATGGTGTGGGGGTGCATCTCCATCAAAGGTGTCGGCGATTTGGTTTTTATTGAAAGTACAATGGATGCTAATCAATATCTGAATATATTAAAAACCAATTTAGTAAATAGCGCGAAAAAATTTGGATTTGGACAGAGCTTTAAGTTTTACCAAGACAACGACCCAAAGCATAAAGCTCAGAATGTACGACTATGGACACTGTATAATTGCGGTAAAGTGATCGACACTCCTGCCCAGAGCCCGGATATTAACCCCATAGAGAATGTGTGGGCGTTTTTAAAGAAGAAGGTAGCAAAAAGACATCCCACATCCCGACCAATGCTAAAAGCAGTCATTTTGGAAGAGTGGAATCAGATCCCACTGGATTATATAGAAAAATTAATAAATTCGATGAATTCACGACTAACATCTGTTATTAAGGCCAAAGGTCATCATACAAAATATTAATTTCTTCTAATTATAAGTCTAGCTTTAAAATATCACCGATATGTTAAAAACGAAAACACTTTTGTGACAGTGGGCTTTAGGGAGACTTTTTTTGTTTTTGTTATATGTTTTTTGTTAATTGAAGAATTTAAGTTTTGTTTTTTGAATACTATTAAGAAATAAATGTAGAATATAAAATAATAAAAAATTTGTTCAAAACTTATTTCATAGTTGATTTATATTAATAAAATTGGGAAAAATATAAGAAAAAGTTCATGCGAAAACACTTTTGTGACAAATTGTATATATAATAAATATATCCAAAAACAAATACAAAATCAAAAAATTCCTTCTGGTTGATGACAAATCGCTAACTCGTTTTATATATGACTGTTTTGTTTATTTATTTTACAAATGATCTTTGCTCATTTTAAATAAAATATGTATATAATTAATAAAGTCAATTTGTTGTACTTGTATTGTACTTGTACTTGTTTTTTTTTTTGCATTTTATAAAGCCCAAGACTATTTTTATTTTTTTTGAGTGCAGAGAGGAGAGCAGTCATGTAAAGTTGTGGGCGCGACAACGTCCGCGTTGTCAATTTCTCGATTTTGCCGGTAAAGCAAAGGGACCGCGTGCAAAAATAAAAGACAACAAAAAAACAATACGAATAAAATAAGAAAAGAAGTTCTGCGCTCGTTGAACTTGAACTTGCCAGAAGGGGTGAACGATTCATAGGGATGGGGAAGAGGGTCAAAGGGAGAAGGAAGCTGATCAGGCTTAAGTGAAATTACCTCCGTCCAATGTCCACTCCAGAGAACTGTAGAGAGCTTTCCGAGCTCCCTCCAGCGAACTCCCAGGGAAAAGGCGCTTCTTTTGCTGCCGCTCCAATCGAAATCGCTTGCGATCACGGATCACTCACTCGCACTTCACTTTTCGCACTTTACTTATTTTTTGCTTCTCACTCGGCACACAGCAGCTCCCTGCCGCTGCCGCTGCTGCTGTTGTTGTTATTAAACAATTAAAAATAAATAATAATGGAGTGCAAAAAAAAAAATACTATATATATAGGAGGGCATGAAAAAAAAAGAACGAGTTAAGGAACAGAAGTGTGTTTAATTGAGCGCGACACGCAGCGATCTTGTGCGACACATTTGCAACGGCGTCTACGACTACGACTACGTCTACGAAAAGCTAATGACGGCTTTTCGGATTTGGTTTCGGTTTCAGTTACGTTTACTTTACGTTTACGTTACAGTTTCCCCGACGATCGTCCGATCCGTGCCGACTGTGGCCGAGTGCGAACTCGAACTGAAGCCGCCGTTGCCGTCGTGCGACGAAGCGCCGATGCCGAGCAGCACCAGCAACTACACTGTGCGATAATAACAGCAGCAGCACCAGCAACAGCAACAAAACTAAAAAAAAAAAAATACAATTACAAAAGCCAGAGCGCAAAAAGAAACACGATTTTGTATACCCTTGCAGGGTTTTTAAATTTTAGTTCGAAGCTTAAAATGTTGTGAAGAAGTCATTTGCGACCCTATAATATATATTCTTGAATTTCAAAATTTATAAGGGGTTACCATCGCTAAAACTGTCAAACAAATTTATACAAATTTTAATTTTGTAGAATTATTTTAATTTAGTAAGCAGATTTAATGACCTTATCAAAACTAACATAAGAAAGCTCTTTGCATTAAAATACATTAATGTTTGGCTTGGTTATGGTTTTTTTAAAATTAATTTTCTTCAAATATTATCGTATAAAAAATTATACAAATAAATATTGAATTAAAAAATTCACGAAATAAAGCTAGACTCTGGAAGAAGACACCAAAGACAAATGTAATAAAAAAGGCGAAGAAATCTTTGCTGATGGTTTATAATTGCTCTTTGTGTGATATAGTTTTTGTCAGAACATAATCAATAATAATAATCATTTAAAAGAATTATTTCTTCGGAATTGTCTCGTTCTCCAATCGAGCTATATTCTAATCTTCGATCGGAATATCGCCATTGCCTCCGTCTCCGCCTTCACCTGCAGCTACACCGGCACCTGCACCACCTCCTGCACCGCCACCTGCACCTCCTCCTGCACCGCCACCTGCACCTCCTCCTGCACCTCCTCCTGCACCGCCACCGCCATGGCCTTGGGCTTCCTCCTGAGCCAGTGCAATTGCCATTTTCCTGGATTCTGGCCATGGTGGTGGCACGCGCTTGAGGACATTGCGGAAGTAGAGTTCCGCTGCCATGACATTGAAGACTTTCTTCACATTGTGCCCTGTCATGGCCGATGTCTCGACATAGGAGATTTGAAATTCATCTGCGAGGTAGGCTGCCTCCTCCTGGGTAACCTGGCGCGCCTCCAGCTCATCGCACTTGGTGCCCACGATCATGATATTGACCCCCTCGATGCAGTCTCTCACTAATCTCAATCCCCACACTGGCATGTTTTGGAAGCTGCTGCGAGATGTGGTATCGAAAACCAAGATGACTCCCTGTACTTTGCCACAAAGTTCTTCGTGAATGATACGGAAGCGGTCCTCGCCGGCGACGTCGAAAGTGGATAGAAGGATTTTCTTTCCAGCCAATCGGACGCTGCCATTCTTGAACTGAGTGATCGCAGGCGAGTAATAATCGGCGTCAAAGGTGCCCTCCATGGCACGGCTAAAGAGTGCGCTCTTGCCAACACCCGCGTCTCCTATGATGAGGATGGTGTAACTATAATCTTCCATTTTTCGTCGAAAAGTTTAGGAATTTCGTCCAGATAGATCCAGTTGGGGCAAGAAACTGACTCGGAATGAAATTAATAGTATAAGCAGTGACTGAACTGAGTTGACACTAAAAGGTATGGCATGCTTATTGACCAAAAAGTGATATAGATTAGAAGTTTACATCTAAGGTTGCCTGAAATGATTTCCACTATACTAAGGAGTTCTTTGTTTAGGAGATAAATACTCAACAAAAGCTGTCTTCATACTCCAGAAACTATTACTAAAATTCTCTACCTTTGGTCTTGGGTGAGTTTATTAAACTATTTCCCCAACTGGTACAGTTTATGTCCGGGAATTCAAAGAGACACTTACCATCCAGCTGTGACCAAGGGAAAGTACATAAAAATTAGCATTACTCCCGGCTTGCGCTGAGGTCAGAAGTTCAAAGCGCCAAAGAGCGGTAGAGAAGGAAACGAGAAGCTTAGGTAGGAAGCCATGGGTATACCCAGCTCCATAATGCCATCATAATCGTTAGGGCATCTGATGGCAATGGCAATAATGTTTGCTCCTGGTGATTAACGCAATTAAACAGGTGCTCAAAATGATGTTTCCAGTGGATTAGGCGAGGACAGGATGCAGGATACGCGGGCGCCAAGTTGGGGGATGAGGGATGGCAGTGCGTACATCCGCTAATAAGGGACACATTAGCAGCATGCGCCACGTTCGCATTAATTCTGGTCGGTGGATGAGGATGTTCCTGGGTGACTGGCTACTGGGAGTGGGGATTGGGAGATAACGTTAAAATTCCATTAGCCCGAAAGAGGGAGTCTTTGACCCGATGGATCCCTGGTCCGTGCTCAGGTGTGTTCTTCCCAACTTTATTTTTTTGTGTTATACCATTGTCCGTCAACCGGGAGACATCGCTTGAGGGGCTTCAGTCTAGCTGGGCTCGTTTATGCTTATGCAATCCGCGCACCAAATGGTTCACATGACCTCCTCCTACTCCTACTCCTCCTCCTCTACACCTAATGAGCCACTTACTTGGTCTATTGTCCGGCTATTCATTCTCTGCGTTGAGAGTGAATGGGAAAAATTAAACTCACAATTTCCAAGCCATTAATGGGGCAAGGCGGCTTTAAAGAGGGGCGAGGCAGGAAAATAAAGCGAACAATTGTTACCCTGCAAAAAGACAGACGTAAAAAAAGTTGATAGTTATATACTTAAATGTTTTGGAATACTCATTAAAAAAAAGGATCTTCTTTGGATATTCAATTTAACAGAAATAAAATTTATTAAATAAATATATGCTCAAGCCCTGTTATAAGATAACAGAAGTTACAAATTTTTTTTAAATAATAAAAAAAAATGTAATTATATATATGAATATATTTTAATTTGTATATCTTAAATGTAAACTAGAATTTCTTGCTTTAATACCCATTTACTAATAATTAAAAGCTGAAAAATGACCATAATTAAAGTACCTTCTTTAAATTAAAATATCTGCCTCAAGCAATTAGTTCTGCCACAGAAATCACAGAAACGACTAAGCAATACCCTTTTCTAGGTGATACCCTAAAGTTTTTATAGCCTTTACGGTTCAAGCTCTTTTTGGCATCGGTAAAACCCGCTAATTGAACGGCTTTTTGTTGTTGTTTTCGCTTTCATGTGCTTCATTTGTTATTCGTCCATCTTTTATAGTTAGAAAAACAAAAACAACAACAAAAAAACTAGGGGAGACGAGAAAAACATAAAAACAATAGCGGAAAAATAGTAATAATACAAAAAAAAAGGAGGCAAAAGGCAAACTATTTAATGACAGTCGCGACGACAAACCCACACAGCCAGCAACCCAGAATCGGAATCTGACTCTCTTCAGACTCAGCATAGTTCAATGCTTTGCTACTGGGCCACCGGCCAGAAATAAGTACGTAACGTAGTGTATAAAAAATAAGTGTTGCGAGACACCAAGGCTAAGAATACCCTTCCTAAATAAACTTAAATCTTACTTGATATGGTAGGGTACAAAATAATATGAAAGTATCTATGCAAAACAATTTTTTTTCCTTTAAATGTTTCTTTAAATAAAAAGTAAAATCTATTTAAAAAGAAAAATCTATAAACAACTATTATTTAAATTTTCAACTTGCAGAACTTAATTCAATTTCCAGGGAATTATAAATAAATAAGTAGTTAAGCCTTTTCGGGTCACTAATGCCTAAAGAATTTCTGCTCACGTTTGTAAGACCCTATGTCAAGGTATAATAAAAATAACATGGCAAAAATCTAGCTAAGCAGCTCTACAAAATAATAATAAAAAAAAATATATATATATATACAAAACAAAACAAAAAAAACTATAAACAAAACAAAGAACACGCCCCGCATTTGGGGACGAGCAAAAAGTAAACAGAAAAGCCATTAACGGTTACAGCAACAATAATAGCAACAATTGCGAGAAACAAGCACTTGGCAACATGCTGCTGCTGCTTTTGTTGTTGTTGTTCTGTACTCTTGTTGCACAAAAAAAAAGGGAAACACTCTTAAAAATAAATAAGAACATTTTGGTATTATAATTTCACCAAAGAAGGGTATTAGGAACAGTTCTTAATCTACACAGGAACAAAAGTTAATAGTTTTCCGTAAAGAAATAATTCGAAAACATTTTCGTAAATAAACTTAAGAGTTTCATTGAAGATATTTAGCATTAAAAATTCCCTATGGTTCTTGTTGTTAAATCATATTGAAATCAGCTAATTCTTAAGTATTGCTTGGGGAATTTTAAAACAGTAAGGATTTTTCCAAAGAGAAATCTTTAAATGAAATCGATTTTGAGTAATCAATCAAGTTGGTTGGAAGATTAAAAAAATCTATTATGCTATTTATTTATTAATTTTAACTCAATATTTATATGATTTCCTTTCTCTTCTCCACATTTTTCTCAACGTGTGTCTTTCTTTGTTACTGTTTTTGTATTTCTTGCTGAATTCTGCATGGCAAAAACAATTACGATTTCGCAAACAAAGATAATTTACGAATGAGATCGACGAACACGATACAATGGCACACTACCAACATACTATATATAGTATATATTCTTTATCGACATAGGGGGATAGGGTGGCAAGAAAACCTGGAATACGATGAAGTGGAACGTTTAGAATAGGGGGAGAAAAACAGAAGCTACTACTTAATTGAACGTGTGTATGAGATCGCTAATCGGCAATTGTCGATCGATTTTCATTGGGAAGAGGTCAATATACAGGCAGCAAACAAAGCAACAAATCAAGCGGAGCAAACACAAGTAACTCATAGTCTTTTAGACCAAGTTAAAGTCTCTGATGGATTTATTATGTCTATCTTGACTACTTTGCTTTTCAGAATTAGAATAGTTAGGACCACGGGTTTGATTGCACAGAAATCATGAGAGTTTTATTGGAAGACCGAGGCTGTTCCATTAAGGTCTTTAAATTCTGTCTACATTTCTTCTTCCCCCTCGTAATGTTCAATCAATTTCAAATATCAGTTCCAAAGTTATTACAGGAATTTTTTAAGGTCAATGGCAACAGTTTCAATTTCGGTTTCATAAGTGTCAACTGTGACCCCTAAACTCAACCGTGAATTGGATCCAAAGGGGGCCTGACCCGACGTACTGACCTAGAAAAATGTGCGTTAAAAAAAATACAGAAAATCAAAGCCCGAGTCTCCGGACCCAGAAAGGGGTTTAATGAAAGCAAATCTGGTTTAAGACGTGACTTGTTTATTACGCCTAACGAACTTTCTATGCAAGGGCCAGTGCATCCCATTACCACTTACATTTACACTTGCAGGTAACCGAATTTTTCCGGAAACTTGACAAAAATTACAAAATTAGGTCAGAGAGTTACACATGCCAACGTTTTTACAAAACGTTATTGCAGCATGAATTTAAGCCGAAGTTTCCCTTTAATTTTCGCTTTGCCAAGCACTTTTCATTTTATTTTTTGTCACCTCTGCAAAGCTACAGTAAAATATTTCATAATAATGTTATAGCTGGCGATCTCACGATCAAATGAAAGTATATTGATTGCTGATTGGGTGAAATTTAATACTAAAAGACAAATATGAAATGAGAGATACTTTAATAAATTTGTTTATGCAAATAGTTGACATTTTTTGGAATTCAAAGAAAACACGCTTCCATTTTCTTGAAATATATTTATGTACTGATTTTGTAGTTATGTAGTTATATACAAACATTTGAGCAGTTGGGCTTAAAAAATCTGTAGTTTTTAGTTCTATATTTGATTCTACATTTCTTGTGGATACTAAACTGCCACATCATAAGATATTCCGCCTTTTATATTTACACTCGCTGACGATGGGTTTTCCCGGGGTATAGTTTCTTCTTTTTTTATTTTCCTTATCCAATGATCACCTGCACTTTCACACGTAGTAAAACCTCCGAGCAAAAAGTATCGGTTTGATACTTTATGTATATACTTTGTATGTAAATGTTTTGTATTTAAAGAAGAACTTAGAACTTCTCTTTACTCCTTGACATTAGTTGACCACCCCCCTTAGCCTCTTCCTTCCATGTGGCTTATATCTCTCAACTTTCTCCTTCATAAACACTGCAATCAAATCGTTTCGCAATTGTCCGGCCACAATTTGTATGGGGGCTTACATTGATGTCTTTGAAGAGGCCATAAAAGTGGGCGGACTCCGCCACCTAATCAAAGGGCAATGTCCTCCAGCCTCACTTTAGATGGTGAGATGATGAGGCCACAGCCAGAATAAACATAATAAAAGTGGATATTATTAAACTAAGAAAGTATATTTAAAAATCTACAATATATAGATTAACAAAACTATCAGTTTGTTTTCATCTTGTGGCCAGTGATGTTATGGATTAAAAACAAGCAAGAAAGCTAACTCTGCTCTGATAAGCTAAAGTTTATATATATATATATCCTCAAATGAAATAATTTTAATCAAAGAAAAACTTACAGGTGATAAACTATTTACAATATTTGTTAGCAGCAAAAGTTCCGCGTTTAATTTTGTAAAAATTGAGCCGACTTGACTTCGAGTCTAAAGAACTATTCAAAATACATATGTATAATAATTCGATTTTGATTGAATTGAAAACATTATTTTAAAATTGTCAAAAATTTCAACAATTCAATTTTCGTATTTTGAAAAACAATCAATATTAATTTTCATTACATTTATAATTACAATTTTACAATTATAGTTTTACATATACTGTTTAGCATTTTTCTCTACATTTATCGTTGGTTTCTATAGCAGTTATATAATATAGTAGTCCGATTTACATATATGAAAGAGAATAGCTAGAAGATGGTTTCCAAAGTTTCGTTTAGATATGTTCAAAGCTGACAGGAATGGCTGGATAAACTCGGCGGTTGATGCTAATCAGAAATATATATACTTAATTGAGTCGGAAATGATTCCTTGATTGCGTTCCGAATCTCGGAATTTTAATACCCTGCAAATCTATATATAAAAAAATAGTGAAAATATATTACAAAAAAATGTTGCTTCCTTTTATTTCAGTTCTGTAGCAAACTACATTTTGTTTTTGAACTGAAAAGGAATAATTATGAAGATGTTATAATTTAAGAAAAGAGTCTTAAATTCTATGTCAAAATGGGGTCATTTAAGAATTTTTACAAAACTAATATATATATAATATTCGCCAATATGACAAAAAGGCATTGGTGTATATCAAGATTTTAATAATAAATTAGACCTAGTTTAAATATGTTACACAATTAATGTGTGTTTTATGTGAGAGTGGTGATTTTCCATCAAGCGTTAATCAAAGTCATTTATGGATTATTTCCATTAAGGAAATTGGTGCGCTTAGAAAAAAAATGAAAACTTATATTATAAACAGAATAAATGTGTATTATGCATGTCAAGAGGTGTTATGAGAGTTCATCTTTGCGAACTTGGCGAAAAGGTACTTTAGCTTGATCGCCAGCACATCCTGGCTCTCTTCGGGCAAGCTGCCAATGGCCGTGGCCCAGTTTTTGAGCACCAGGCTCGGCTTGCACGTGGACATGTTGATCTCCGGCACAAATTTATTTGACATCATCTCCTCGGGTTGCTCCACGGCAACCGATTCATTCATTTGCTCCGGTGTGCGCACCGTGAGCTGGCTCTTGTTCTTCACCTGCTTAAAGATCTCATCCATATGTCGAAAATACTTATGGTTCATCGTACAGAGATTCTTTGGGTCCAGTATTTTAAGGAGGCGCATCTCTCGCAGTGCATACTGCAGACCCAAGCGGCATTCAGTCACTGCAAAGGAATACGTTTTATACATATAGTAAATGGTTTACTTATTATTTGCTCTATGATACCTGTGATCTTGAGCTCCTTGGATACGCGCACCCAGGCCGTGCGCTTATTGATCGTATGAACCCGCTGGAAAGTGTGTGGATAGCGGCGCAGCATGCGGGTCAGTTCGAATACCTCGATGGTGGGCAGGGTATAGGTAGGACGCGATCCACTTGCTTTCGGTGGCCGCCTCACAATGCTACGCGAGCAAGAAGGCTGTGGCTCAGGCTCAGGCTCAGGCTCCGGCTTTGGCTCTGGCTCCGGCTCTGGCTCTCGCTCAGGCTCAGACACAGGCTCTGGCAACTCAGGTTCCTCTGTGATGATGTCTGGCGGTGCGTCTATTTCCCCTGAATCAATATCGATAACAGGTACAGGTACACTCACTGTTGCCTGGCTCGAAGCATTAGCGTTGTTAGGTTTTCCCAAGATACTAAGCTTGCCGGTAAGCAGACGCTTAGCCTCCTCTGAACACCAGGGCATAGGCTCCTTGGCGACACGTGCCAAAAGAGCCGAAGTCTTGCCCTTGTCGGTAGAATCAGAACTTGTCAATGCTTCAAACATGCTGCAACGTTTCACCTCGTCGAGGATTTTGTTGTGTACAATGTAGAAGTAGGGTTCCAGGGGATGGTAGCGAATATCGGCCAGGAACTTGAGCTGCTCTAGGGCCTGCCACCAGTTCTGCGGCCAGGGATTGTCAATGCCGCGCTCAAGATCCTCCATATATGTGCGAAAGGCAAACTTGAACATGGACCAAATGTCATGGTGATTGACTGCAAGGCAAGGCAAAGGCAATGTTAAAAACAAAAGCGAGATAAGATATAGAACAGGCAACACTTACGATCGGGAAACTTAATCTTGGCCTCACGCCACACCTCCTGGCGCTCCCTTTCGGTGTACAGGGGCGGTGATTTAACCACCTCGCCGGGCCGGGGCTTGCGCATCTCCCAGTACAAATGCTCGTGATGCCGGAAATGGCGTATGAGATCCGGTATCACCTCCCTATACTTCATCCAATCGTACTTGCGTGCAATCTCGTCAAACTTGCCAAACAAACGATTCGACTTCTCCCACACCTTTAGGTTGCCTTTGAACGGACGCATCAGCTCGGTCATGGGCGCAATTGAGGGGAAAAGACTCATGTTGTTGGCCAGGAAGTTCCAGCAAGCGCGCAGAGCCAACTCTAATTAGGGATTGGGATTTTAATAAAAATTCATTAATTAGAAATGGAGGTTGTCCCACTCACCTGGCATGTGAAATTTCTGGGAGATAACCTGCCAGAATTCATCGGATTGGGCCTTCAGCTGAGGACACTTATTATGCAGTTGAGGCACGGCCATTACCTCGCGAATTAATGTTGCCGTCCTCACCATATTAAGATTATAGTTACAGTTGAGGCCGCCACCCCAGATGCGTAGCGAGTTTCCGGCACTGGCACTGTACACCAGGTTCACATTGATGGCATTCATGAATATGCCACGAGGGCTCTGTCCAAAATCTGTTGATATGGACTTTGAGGTGGATGGTGCATCGTCTGGGTCTACGGAGGGAACTTCTATGATGACTGGGGAAGCAGATCTGGTCACTGGCGGAGGTGCCGAAGTCACTGGAGGAGCTGCTGAGGTCACTGGAGGAGCAGCTGAGGTCGCTGGGGGAGGTGCTGAGGTCGCTGGGGGAGCTGCTGGGGTCGCTGGGGGAGCTGCTGAGGTCGCTGGGCGAGCTGCTGCGGTCACTAGGGGAGCTGCTGAGGTCGCTGGGCGAGCTGCTGAGGTCACTGAAGCAATTGTTGGTGTCTGTGATGTGGCATCAGATGTCCTTATTACTATTCTGTTTGATTTGGTGGCAGATAGCACTACCGGTGGCAAGGAAATTCCACTTCCTCTTAATATTGTGGGTGCCTTAGGTGGTGCTTTTGATCCTGAGGATGTTGTAGCAACTTCTGGATATTTTATGGCTCCACCCACTACAGCTCCGGATACCACTCGAACTCCTGCTCCCGTTCCTGCTGATTTTCCAGGTGCTCCTGCAGCTGCTCCTGCAACTGCTCCTCCTCCTGCAGTTCCTATTCCTCTGCCTGTATCAGGTTTAGCAGCTCCTCCTCTGGCTGCTGATACTGACAGAGTTTTCCCAATGTCGTTTTCGCTTATCAGCACCGGCTGATGGATCCTAACCATTGGTGCTGCCATCTCCGGAGGTTTCGGTAAAAGCTTGGGCAATTTTGGCCGTGTTGGTGCTGATGTTGTTCCTGGTCCAGCTGCTGGTTGTACCCTCACAAGCGAAATCGATGATCCCAGTGACGCCGACGATGATGAGCCATTTCGTTGCATTGAAACAACTGCCGCCGCCGGTGGGGTTATGGCTCGTATCATGGATGTGGGTAGGGTTATCGGGATGTTGGGCAGGGGCGCATTCATTTTGGGGCGCATAGATATTTGTGGGGCAGGACGTTGAACCAATGAATGCATTGCATTGGGTGCCTGATTCGCTGGAGACGCCCCTGGTGCCGGTTTACTTATATTCTTGATAGGGTTTAGAAGCTTTGGGGGAGGACGGGGCACGGCAGACACCTTTACGTTGCCCTGGGACGTGGAAATCACAAAAGGCATCGGATGGTCAGTGGCAGTACTGGAGCTGCTGCTTGTGGCAGCGGGTAAGGTGGAGGCACCAGCAGTGCTGCTTCTGGCATTGGGTAGGGATTGGCCACTACCAGTGGTGGTGGAGCTGTTGTTGGTGGCGGTGGTGGTGGTGGTGCTGCTGCTATTGGTTTTCATCGAAGGCGGGTAGACAATGGCTATGGGGAAGCGTGGTGGTTCCGGCTGTGTGATCTTGGATGGCACTGTGACCTTAGCGGGAGGCTGTGTGACCTTAGCGGGAGGCTGTGTGACCTTAGCGGGAGGTGGTGTGACTTTTGCGGGAGGCGGAGTGACTTTAGCGGGAGCCGGTGTGACTTTTGCGGGAGGCGGAGTGACCTTAGCGGGAGGCGGTCCCATCTCGCCGGTTTCATCACCATTGTGCGGGCGCTTGTTGTTGGTTATTCGTTTGGCGGCACGGACGGCTGCCAAGCGGACTATGCCGTTGAGTACATTCTCGAAATACCATTTGTCCTGCAGCTGGTAGCCCGCCTGACGCATGGCTGTCAGCTCGGTGTGAAAGGAGCGAAGCAGCAGCCAAGTGACCTCACAGCGCTCGTAGCTTACGTCCACCGCCTGGCCCACCTTCTGCCACAGCTCATCGTAGATCGTCGGCTTTGTTCGCAATCGCTGGCAATCTTCGGTTATCTGGACCAGCTCGGGCATGGTACGCATCGCATTGATCAGGGCCAGGACGCTGCGGAAATTCTCGATGGGCTCGTACCAACTATTCTGCAGATACTTGGAGACCTGGCACACGGTGAGGCGCAGGCGCATCACATATTGTCGCATAAAGGCCATGCGATGGCACAGCTCCGAATCTCTGTTTGGCCGGTCGTTATGCCTCACGTCCCACTCGAAGCGGGTCAAGAGTATTAACCAATTCTTGATTAACTTGGTGGCCTTGTCGCGCAGCTCGTTGGATATGGAGCACCAGATGAGGCCACGGTGACGGAAGTTCGAGAACTGCGGATGATGTGCGTCATAGAGCTGTGGGTACGCTTTCACCGCCTCGATCAGGCAACGCTCCTCCATGGTGCAGCCGATTGCATCATCCACGAGATCCACATCGATGATATCCACCGGCGGCGGCTCCACGATCACGACTTCGGGCACTCCATCGCCCTCGTCCTCGCTCTCGCTCTCGCTGTCACTCACTTCGAGCTTCAGCAGCGGGAAGCGTGCCACATGCGGGTAAAGGAATAGCAGCTCCTCTTCATGCCGCAGGCAGGGACGACGGCGGGTCTTCACTCTTCGTTTCACCGCACTGCGGTGGAAGGCACGCAGGCGACGAACATGCCGCTGGTAACGGTAGCGCAGCTCCGACCAGGTCACCAAGCATTGGGTCAGTTCAATGTGTAGCTGGCTGGTGATGCGCTTCCACAGCTGCTCCTTGTAGGTGTCGTCATGGAACCGCGGATGCTGGCCGTCGTACAGAGCTGGATAGCGGCGCACCAAATTGATGAGATTCCTCTCCTGCTCGCAGGCCTCCACGACGGTAATAGGGCCCTTGTCAGTTTCCAGTGATACTGGTGCCTCCTCCAGTCGCTCCACTGCAAGGGGAGAAGACAGTGTTCACAGAAGAAAGGAACAACAGAGTCATTAAAGGCTATCTGTCACACTCACCGGTTACGATCTGCGGACAAGCCACGCCCAGCAATCTGATCTCGTCCATAACGCCGCCGCCAGTCACTTGAGTCCTGATCCCGGTCGCTCCAGAAGCGTTGCGCAGGCAAACGCTTCGCCGCAGTTATTCAAATTACAGCTGTGCAAACGAATAAAGCGCCGGCTGCCGACGCCCCCGGGAAGTATGGCCAGTATGGCTGAGTGGTTTTATGGTACGATTTAAAGGAGTTGCGGGTTTTCGCGACGCCAGAAATTTGGCAAATTGTTTGACATTAGATCTGTTCACAGTAGTATCGATACTATTGATGCATTATACTATCGGTAAGAGAGATGTGTTTTTTTTGTCATCCCTGCATGGCGGCCATGGCACAGTGTGATGGCGGCGTTGCCACCTCGTTGATTTGAAAGCCGATTGTTACGTATGTGGCAACGCTTAATTCTTTGGCAGTTACTTATGAATGTGTTAGTATTTAAATTTAAATATATATATGCATTTATATAGGATATAAATCTTGGTTGGCACTCTCAAAATTTTCCCGATGGTTTAAGTTGCCGTCCAAGAGGTACCACTGTCACAATCGTTCTGAAGCGGTTCTACAAACAGCGCCCGTATTTATAGGGGACTAGGGGAGAAGTGAGAGGGAGATAGAGAGAGAGAGGCGAAGCTAGAGAGAGAGAAAGAGCTAGCTCCATCTTTATGCAGAGGAGAAGAGAAAGAGTGGGAGCCAGGGAGATAAATGGAGAGAAAGAAAGGTACAGAGAAAGAGGGAGAGAACGAGACATAAAGGGAGGGAGAGATTTAGAGAGAGAGAGACAGAAAAATAGAGTGAAATAGAGAATTACGATGGAAGAGAATTACAAATTGAGTATGGTTATAAATTGAGATTGGGATACACTATACGGGGGGTACATAGAGAGAGAGAGGCAGATCCGGAGAGCTCATTATGGAGAGACATCAAGTAATCATAGATAAGTAGATGAATAAATAAATCCTAAATCCTAATAAATCCAATCCTAGCTTCTATGGTTTTTATGGTATTTTTAGTTCAACCACGATCTTTTCTTTGGTATTGAAATTGTATCCCACAAATAATGTTATCACTGTACTTCGACTAACGATCGATCGTTTAAAAAGTCGTTAGCCAATTTGTATATGTGGCCAAAACAAGTTACCAGTAATGTTGACTGCAGTTTTCTTTTATAAAAACCAGTTTTTAAATGCAGAATGCATGTAAATAATTTCATAATTATACATCAAATATTAATATATATATTAATATATATATAATATATGGATTTATGTCTTTTATGTTATTTTAAACTGATTAAAATTAAGAACAGGCTTACTAAATGCCACAAGCAAAGTAGTTAATTGAATGAGCAATTCTAATCTGCGGGCGGGGAATGGGTGGTGGTCACGCGGAGGCAAATAGAACGCAACCCAATGACGTCGACATCAGCGTCGGGCGCATTATTTAGCCGGGTATTATTTTTAGACGCGCGAATAGAATGTATTAGATATTTGTGCAGTGGCCAATTTGCGCTAGGTGGACTCCGTGGCGCAACGGTAGCGCGTCTGACTCCAGATCAGAAGGTTGCGTGTTCAAATCACGTCGGGGTCAAAAGTCAAAGGGTATTTTTTTGTTGTTCTTAAATATAATATTAAATATTTGATTGCAAACATTTTCGATCCTTCCAAAAGCCACGCTTAATTTGCCAAGCTATACACTAAAAGTAAACAAGAAATTGAGGTTGTTTTGAAGACCACAGGAGGGTGAAAGAAATATAAAGAGAGAGAGAGAAAGGATAGATTGAAGGCGAAGAAAAATTGGCCGATCTCTCCTAAACTGCTATATTTTATTCGATTTTTGATTAAATGAAAAATGTACTTGGATACCGTACAAATTACTTCTTAGAAAGTATACATATCTCAAGTTACGTTTGGCGATCGGTTCAAAAATTGGAATTTATTTCAGGCTGTTGGACATGTTTAGATTGCATTTATTGCTGATGAATATGTACACTTTATCGAAAGAATATCAAAATAAACAAATAAATAAACAAATGTTTATTTAAAATAAAACAAAACGAAATTTGAAAAAGTAAAAAACTCAACCTTTATAAACTGTCATACACAAGGTTGAAAACATTGCGAAACCGGAATACAGCCAGCGCTGCCAGACTAAACCGTTTCAAATCCGTTAGACTTTATGTTTCCTCAAAGTCAGCTGCTTAAAAATCTTTAATACGTGAATTTACAACGCAGTAAACAAAAATAATTATGTTTCGGTTACATTGCAACAAGTGCTACCATCTTCGCACCCATGAGCCCACCATGGCGTTCCATCTGTCCCGATGCCACCATATAATATGTGCCAACTGCTTGGAGAGCTCATTAAAGGACCAGAAGAAGTGTCCCCTTTGCAGTGCGCCACTGCAGACGATCCCCATCGACCGGAGCATGCCCAGCGGCATGGCCCAGTATTTCGAGGATCCAACTAGATTCCTGAAGTTGTATCAAAAAATCAGCAAGTTCCAGAGCGACCAGCGAAACTCGGACAACCTGGGCTTTTGGCGTCAGATAGAGCAGCAGCGTGACATGGAGCTGCAGTTGGAGGGCTACAACAAGATCGAGGCCCAACTGAATCAGCAACTTAAGTTGGAGAAGCAACGCATTGCGGAGCTGCGTAGGTACTTAGCTTACCATGAGAAGGCGGCACCGAGCAGCAGCAGCCAAGGCAGCAGCGTTATGGAACTACGAGGATCTAGGAACAACCAGAAGCGTTGTCCAAGACCAAGAACTCCATCCGTTACCACGACAACGGACAATTCGATGTCGGATGAGACGAAGGAGACGAACAATTTTTGGACACCTCTGTCATGGATTTTGGGCCAAAGAAACACCATAATGACAAGAAATTTCATATTTAATAAGATCTTATGAATTAATCTAATGGATTTAAGCAAATATTACCATTTCCTTTGAATTTTCTTAATAAATAAGGGAAAAACTTTGGCAAAACCCATTAAAATCAAGAGATTTGAATTTTTGAAAAATCAGATCTGGCAACACCACGCGCGAACAGCTGTTCCACCAACGGTCTCTCACATTTTTTCCATCACTTTCATAACACAATTTTGTTTGCAATTTACGCGGTTTAAATGAATTAATACTGCCGATTCGATTGACACCATGTGGACAAGGACGCACTGCCTCTGGCGGAGTGTAAGCCGTCAAGCGAATCATCTTTTGAGCCGCCATCTGTGTACATCAAATGTTTTGCCTGCTCGCATATTTGCCGATCGGGAAAATCAGTTTGCTCATGGAATATTAATGGAGTCCCTGAAGCCCTACCAGGTTCTCCGATCAACGGACGGAGGAGAGCATAAGGAACTGCCCTCCTCGGAGAGATTCCTGCAACCTCAAAGCAACGCCAGCGCCGCGGACTTGTATGCAGCCTTCCTAAGTCTTGTGCAGGACTGCTCGAGGTTGGGGCTTCAGGTTAGTGATGTTCGGTATGATGCCTTTGCCCGCTGCTACTGCGAGCAACTGCATCGACTGACCGATGAGCAGCTGTTGGGATCCCTGCAGGCTCTCGGCGAACTGCCCACACCGGATTCAACCAAGACGCACAACTACATGGAACTGTGGAACACGCTGGACATCGAGTGCTGCCGCCGCATTGAGGGCTGGTCCAGTGCCCAGCTGTTGCTGGTGAGCGATGCCTGGTACCGCCTGGGTCTGGCCCGGATCGGAGAGTACGTGTGGCTGGCATTAAAAAAGTTGGGACGTAAAGTTCGTAAACTGCCTCCTGAGCAACTGGTCCAGGCCATGTTCCTATGCAACCTGCTGCGGCGCCCCGTCTTCGAGATGTTCGACTTCGAACTGAACCTGGCGCGGTGTGTGGACCAAATGACCCTGGGCGAACTGGGTGTGATGGCCATGGGCTTCTTCAAGACACAGACACCGATCAGGAATCCAGAATTGCTTGCTCAGATATACCAGCGGTTGGGCAGTGAACTGGACACAGTGGAGGATATTCCCCTGGTAGCCCTGCTCAAGGTGCTGCGCTATAGCAGCAAATTGCCACAAGTGGAGCCCCTGAACAGATTGCTGTGCGAGCTGGAGCACCAGGTGGAGCGTGTGTCGCTGCTCGCCTGCCTTCACATGGCTTTGCTGGGCTGCGATCTGCAGACCTGCAACGATGTCCTGGTGGAACGCATCCTCCTGAGATTCGAGCGGGAGCTGGAAAGCGCTCGTCTGAAGGACGTAGAACGCATATGTCTGGTAATGGCCCTGTTTAATATAAACAGTTCCTCGGGAGTGGAAACACGTTTAGCAAAACGGCTACCGGATCTGCTTCGTCAGCGGTTAGACGAGATCTTGCGTCATCCGCGTTGCTTCACCAACTGCCTGCAGTTCCTCACCATGCGTGGCATTCACGACATGGAGCTGTTGGGTGTGGCCCTGTCGCCGCGCTTCCTGCAACATGCCTACCGAACCGGACTGCCGGGGCGAGAGTATTTCCATTTGGATGCATTCGCTCGACTCCTGGGTCCCGAGGTGTACCAGGGACCTTTGCTCAGTGATCGACAGTTACAACAAATGGGGCGCCTGTACACGCAATATATACCCGAGCGGGATGGACGCTTTCGGCTCAATAGCACCGATCGAATTCTGTTGGAGATTCGTGAAGCAGCCTCGCTGCTCCACCGCCACCTGAGCTTCAAGCATGTCCTGCCGCACTATGAGCGATGTGATCTGGTTCTCTGCTATGACCATCGTCAGCGCAAGGCTCTGCCACTCTCAGCGGATGTTGGAGAGGATTACAACGGTGTGATACTCACCCGGCGGCATTTGCTGGGCGAGAGCAAGGCCCAGGATGATCAAGTGGCCAGCATTGTGATTGTTATTGCTGGCTGGAACAATACGATTCGGGCCAAGAACCGTTTCACAGGACAGATGGACATGAAGCTAAGGCAGCTCCGGCAACTGGGACATCAGCCAGTGGTGGTAAGTCCAGGGCTTAATATTTATCAGAGAGAATAAGAAGAAATTAAAAAGAGAGTGAGAGAAAGTTCTTGTATCACGTTACACTAGCTCTCTTTCGCTTTCAATTTAGTTTTTTGTCTTTGTGATTGCTCTCAATTGTATTCAAAGAGAGAAGAGAGAGAGAAGAGGTAGAGAAAGATGTAATTGCTCTCGAACTTTAACCAAGAGAGAAGAGAAAAGGGTCGAATTAAAACATTTCTTTGTGTCCATAAGAGAGCTCTGCATTCAAAGTAAAACAAATCATTTACTTTTTGGTATTTTATTTATTTTTTTCCGCTTAACAAATAATCATTTTAGTTACAAGTTGGCAAGTTTAAATTAATAATATTTATAACAAGCCCGTATATAATTAATTTTCTGTTTTTGATATCCCAAAGAATGTTGATAAAAAAAAATGGCAAACAAAAAGGCAGTATAAATAACTAGTTGTGATATAAGAAAACCATTGAAAAGTATGAAAAATAGTATAGTTTAACATCTCGAAGTTATACAATTTTGAATTTAACAAACTAATAAATACAAAAAAAAAAGTTAAATATATACATACATAATAGTTGATTATGCTAGCCATCTCTCTTTCTATTACATGCATTGGACTTGTTCTTGAACCTCTTTGAATACGTTTTTTTGAGTATATTCGTATATTCTCCATGTATTAAACCCACATTAGCCTAAGCCTGACCACAGCTTTTGTATTTAATACACCTCTTCCTCGGCAGATCTATTGGCATGAATGGCGGGAACTGGAAAACGCCACGGATCGCCAGAACTTCCTTCGACGGCGCCTTAGCCAAGTGGCCAAGATATAGCAGGAAAATGAGGAGCACAAGACAAGGACAAGAGACCAAATGGCATAATTAAAACGGAATGAATGAATAATAGCAACAACAACTTGGATATTAGTCAGTCATTAGCAATATTAGCATAATTATCTGAACAACATACAGGCACAACATTACGGTCTAGGAATTATCTAGAAAAAAAAAATGAATTATTTCATGATGACCGCCCGCGGCCACGCTCCAAACAACAGCTACTTTGGAGTAGCTTTAGCGGCTTCTCGCCAACATCCGCTCCCGGAACTATGCCACATCGTTCCTCGCACCCAATATTTAATGGCGGAAACAGGTCGACAGAGATCAGAGGGTGGCGGTCAATGCCCGCTTGGTGTACTCATAGGTGACGAACAGAGTGGCCGTTGCCGGAATTGTACGCAGGACGGAGGGCAACAGGCCGCGATATAGGGCCAGGACGCCCTCGCGTCGAACTATGTCAGCTCCCACGGTGAACATGCTATCATTAAGGTTCTTCACCTGGATGCGGCTCTTGATAACATCAGCTGGAAACGTTGAGGTCCATAGGCAGACGCCACCAACGGCGCCGGCGATCATCGTTCGAATTGGTCCTATTTCATCTTTTGTTTGATCTTCGCTATAGGAATAAAAGTCAAACAAAGATATTGATAAGAAAATGGAAAACTTTGGCCAAAGACAATATATAAATGGGAAATTTTAGTTAAGAAATTGTGGTATATATTGTCTTTGCTTAGGCTTTGTAAAAACTATAGGGCATAGCTTTAATAACACTGTTTTTTGTAAGACTTGTAAAGTTGAATTATGTAAAAACTACCTTAGTTACTTACATATAAACTTAATTATTAAGCACATAATTAAGTTTGTAGGGAAAGGTTTTTCCAACTCACCTTCGCAGCAACTCACGCGTGCCCTCATAGCTCCCGAAAAAGAAAAAGTAGCCTGGCATTTCACGTATGAATGTAGAACTTAGGCCTCGATAGAAGCCTCGAATGCCTGTGGAGAAGAATGAGATTAGCAGTCAGAGCAAGTGCATCATAATAACAGATAAATATAGTGGGAAACGGAAGGCTATTACAGATTGGCACGTGAGGATGAGGTCGTGACCGTTGTAAGGCCATGATAAGGCCGGAACGGAAACGTGCTCATCGCCTGCCTGGAGATGCAACCCATTGATCTAACCGGCTGCCGGGGCTGTCAATCGCGGAGCTCATTCTCTCTGTAACTTTCCACTTGGACTGATAATAATGAAGCCTGCTGGCTGGCTGGCTCACTGTCCGATTAACAATTCCCTACTATACCCCGCACCGCTCTATAGCTACAGATCTCTCCATTCCGGGCTACGTCACGGTGCGTGGCATGTTCCCAAACAGCGAGGTTTAATAATAGCCTTATCTGTGTGTAGAGTAATCCCTAATTCCGATGTTTGCAATCTGCGTAGTAAATAGTTGTTATTATTTATGTTTTTTTCTCAGCAAAAAAATACGAAACCTTCTCGCATTCGATTAGATTCGATTAGGGGTTGAGTTATTACAAAAAAATCATCATCGTTCGTTGGAAAGGCATACGTTTTATGGCCTCGTCGTCTGATCTTTTATGGTTAATGCTTCCTGTGTTATTTATAACAACTACTAGAAGTTCAAGTTTATAATATATTTTAAAATGTAATATATTATTATTGAAATCTTGGTTTCTTTAGTTTATTAAATTTAACTTGTGACCAAAACGGTTCTGGAAATTAGCCTTACCTCAGAGGTCTTTATAGGTTTGTTTGTTAAATTTAAAACTAAAGATATTCCTATATTTTCATTAAAGAAATATAGAATGGATATATTTTTATGCAAATAAAATATATTGTATTTGCGATAAGCTTTACTTTTTGTATACACCCACTTTTTCAGCTCTGATAACATTTATTTGGCTCAAAAGTTACTAAGGAATTTTGCTGAAACCCTCAGTTATGTGTCATCAAATGCTTATCCGATTTCTGGATTGAAATTTAATATATACACCACCATTTAATGACACATCTCTGCGTTCAGCATAAAAACTTCTTTGGGAAATTAAAATTAAATTTACATACGTTCTTTATAATTGTATACCCTTCCAGGGTATTATATTTTCAGTAAAAAGCTTAAAACAAATTGAAGCAGTCATTTCTGACCCTATAAATCATATATATTCTTGATCAGCATCAACAGGTGAATCTTTCTAGCCATGTTGAAAGGAAAAAAAATGTTCAAATTATTTCAAAATTTCTTAAGTGGCTTTATCGTCAAATTTGTCAAAAAATTTTACAAAAAATGTTAAGTAATTTAAATTTTAAATTAAGTATGCAGATTTATGAACTAATTAAAAACTAGCACGGAACAGCTTTCCGAATTAAAATTAATGCGTTTTTGGCTTAGTTATGATTTTTTTTAAGCTTGGATTTGAGGAAAAATTGTTCATCTAAAAATCTGTAAATTCTATATATTTTTCATTATTTAAGTTAGTTTTTGAGACACACCTAAATTAACTCCGATGTATTCTAAGAATTCATAAATATTGAATGCTTTAGTTATAAATTGTGATGATAATTAAGTGTGAATTTGTGAAAATCATACGAATTTCTTCTTTGATTATAAGTTAGAAGGAGATTATTAGGTATTTTATTGATCATTAGGTATATGTTTATATTGTATTTCATTTTTCTGTGTACATATTTCAAATTTCAATGTTTTTATAGCCCAATTATGTATTTCAAAAGATCGCATAGCAGCGATAACCAACGGATCCGGCAACTCCCAGCAATCCGTAACCATGTGGGCATCCGTCGGGTTTTTTTTATTATGTATATTTTTTTTTTGGTATGGGTGCGATCCGTATCCGTGTTTATATCGCACACTGCGATGCGATAATTGTGAATTATGAAAAGAAAACGATCGCTGAAAGCCACGCGGAGATAATCTAATCAGGGCACTCGAGTGTTCCCAAAGCAACAATATATGTTTAGCTATAGAGTGTTTCCAAAAAAAAGGAATAGAAAACCAAGGCCGCCACACCCCCAACCGACAAAAAGAGGGGAAATGTGTATCTATCAGTACGGTTTCTCAACCCTATAAATTATTAATTAAAAGTAATTAAAGGGGCTTACTGTCTTCCGAGAACTTATAACCATATTTTCTATCTTGATAATGGAATTTTGGTATAAAGTACTCACCCTCAGTCCGCCAGATATATCGAGTCAGCGTCCATGGCGTTCGCATATCCTCCGGATGTGCTGCCTCCACGAAATGCTTCATCTCCCGCAGCGCCTGGAGCTTACACTTGATCAGCTCCGTGGGACACAGGGTGAGCGTGGAGAAGCAGGCGGCGAGAGAGCCCGCACAGGCATTCTGTACGGTGGTCAACTCGCCCGGCGTCTCCTTGCCCACCAAAAATGTCACAAATTTCTGGCAACCGCCGTAGGCTGCAAATAGCACAGAGTTTTCGGCAACATTGGCAAACACAGCCGGTATGGAGCCAGCATATAGACCACGGGCAAAGCCATCCTTTCGATATGTGCTCACAAAGCAATCCCACATGCCGCGATATGCCTCCGGGAATGTTTGTAACTTGACCTTGACCGTATCGAGGGGTTGGGAGACATAAACCTGAGCCGCTCCGCCCAGGGAGCCGGCGAGGAAGTCAATTAGCCCCTCGACAAAGTTGATATTGTTCCCGGTACCGCCGCCGTGCATGTCCAGGCGTCGAACGAACCGCAAGAAACCACCGACCACGAACAGCAGGCCGTCGCGCACGGCCCTAAGCGTCGATTGAACAGTGAGTGATCGGAGCTTCTTCCACTTGCTCTGCGTTGCGTCGCCGACGGCGCCTTCGCTTCCCTCAATGGCCGCCTGCGGGCGGTAGGTGGAGGGGGGTGGGGTTGTATTGTGGATGGTGTGGATGGTGTGGATGTTGTGGATCGTATGTGGCAGGGTTGCCAGGCGAGCGATCGAACACAGACATTATCTCAAAGGTGTTCTCAGTTCCACTCTCGATGAAGTGGAATTGAGATCTCCCTGGACACTTCTTTACAATAAAATAAACAAATTTTATAAAAGTTGATTACAAAATAATGCATATTCAAATAATAAATATTTGTATAATTATTTAGGGAACAATCTGTCAAAATTAAAAAGACATTTTATTGGTCCCTCTTATTATATTAAATGTAGTTTTGATAAATATATTAATATTTATTACTAAATGATGATAAATGAATCCTAAACACTCTCTGAATTAAATAATTTTTTAAAAAATATATGTAATTTTTAAGAATTCGCTGGTTATGGTTAAAACTTGATACATGTTACAAACAAATGTGATAATTACTGGACTACCGAAGGTTAAGCTCTTTATGTATTCATGACCCCACCCTACCTTATCACTATTTTAATCAAAACAAACCCCCTATGCAATCAATGGGTTAAGCAAGGGGATGGTAATGGTTTGAAGACAACTGTTACCTGCACGGCGCGTTCATAGGCCTCGATGATCTCGTCAGGTGTCAATAGCAGAGTACTGCTGCCCGCCTGACTGCTCCCGATCCTTGGCGGGGGCGGGGGCATAAGAACTGTGGACTTTCTTTCGCCGGTGTCATCACCACCAGATCCCGCCTCGGGATCTGGAGCTTCTTCCGGCTGCTGCGGTGGAGGTGGCGGTGGCGGTTGCGGATTATGTCGACGCCGCTGCCTGACGGTTTGAATTGGTGGAGCAGTAGAAGGGGCTGGTTCAGGGCCATCGTTCTCCTCCGGCACTGGCGTCATGATCCGATGATGCTGCTGCTGGTGCTGCTGCTGCTGCTGCGTCGCTCGCTGCTCTTGGACATGGATATGGTGCGGCACTTGGCCGGCACTCTCCTCCCGCTCCTCCCGCTCCTACTTGCACCAGCAGTCGCGCCTGGAAATGATATGCACGTGATGGCACCAAATTGGGATATCTACCTGGAGGGGGGCGCGCGGAGCGCGGCTAATACGTTTGTCCCTGTCAGTCCCCTGGGCGAGAACGAATTCTCGGAGTTGGCAGTGAGACTACAATTTAGAGTGTGTGTGCAACTGTGAGTGAAAAGGCGTTGGTTTATTGTTATCCTTTCAAATAATGGTTCGATTTACGGTTTATTAATAATCGATAATTTGATTACGCCATATGCATATATATAGGTGTATACATATCATGTGGATCAGCGATCTCTCTCTCTCTCTGTGTGTGTGTGTTCTTTTTAATAATTATTATCATTATCATTTTGTTATTATTTCTTTTTTTTTTTTTTGGGAATGTGGTGTATATCTGGGTTTTATTATGCGGTATTTCCTCTCCTTATCTGCTTTCTTATTTATATATATATAAATTTATTAATTTACATGAAATCATAACTTAGTTACTTGCTATATTTTTATATACCATTTAGTACAGTTATGAAGTTAGTTTATATCGATACATATATAGCCGTATTATTTATAATTTAATAGTACAAAAAAAAAGACTAAACTTTCCTCGAACCCCTTCCTTCCTAGGGGGGCTTAATGATGCTTGAGCTAAGTTCCTGATCGGTGTCACGCCTTGACTATCGATAATATCGATAAATCGCTAATCGTTAATCGTCTTTTTTGTTGTGCCTCCATTTAGCTGAGCTTGCAGAAATATGAAAGTGGAAGCTGGGGGAAATTCACAGGTTCACAGGATATATATATATAGCCAAATCTGGAGAGTTCCGCATCCTCTTCGTCTAACACTTTGTACTCGTTTATGTATATTTTATCTCGGTGTAAAAATATTATTATTATCAACATCGTTTCGTATATCATTTACCCATTATTTTCATCTCTTTTTTTCTATACAAACTCAGCGGCAATTTTTTGCATTTAAAAAAAATGTTTCTCTCTCTTTAAGATTTATGCTTTCTTTTTGCTAGTTTTATGCGGATTTCTAGCTGATTTTCCCCTCTTTTATTCATATTTATATATTATTTATTATGCTTCCTATACAACTATACATATTCATTATTATTATTGTGTACAAATTTCAATTGGCTGGCCAGCCGTCGAATGGCATAGAAGCGAAAATCAAAAATTAACTATTTTAATCCTATTGGCACACATTTTGAATTTCAGATTTGCGAAGGGTTCGACTTTTTTATGTTTATAAATTGAACTTTAGAAAAGCTTAAAAACAAATCATTGTTTTAAGTAACAATTAAATTCGGTTTAAAATTTTTAAGGAAATTTTAAAATAATTTTTTTCCAGGGAAAATTGCTTGGGAAGTTCTTAAAAGATTTGTATAAAGTTCAATAGACATTTTAAAATTGAATAATGCCTTTACGACACTTAAAATTGTATTATATTATGAAAAAGAGGTCCAAACACTCGCCAAAGTTCAATAAAAACTTTTAAATATATATTTTCACATATATATTTGTAGGTTTTGAAGCACTTATAATGGCCTTTACGACATTTTTAGGAAATATTTGGTTTATAATTTAAAGAATACATTTTTAAAACAATTGTGAGTTAGTTTTTTTTTGTTCTCCAACGAGTCCCTTATTTTTTATACAGTACATCAAACTGAAATTCTTTGGGAGTTATTGGGATTAAAGGAACTAAACTTATTTTAGCGCTTCTTATGCAGTCACTCGAGGTGGGCAACTGGGAACCTTCCCTCCTCCATCTCCACTTTATCCTCCTTTTTCTCGAATCCTGGAAATTGCACTGCGTCCCCACTGGCCTTTATCCGGGATCTAACCCATAGACATCACTGCCTCCTAGTAGTAGGCGGGGAAGGGATGATAGTTCGACGGATTGGAGGCATGATGATTGGCCGAGGGCAACACAGGTGGCGGCCTCACACCTGGATGGTAGTTGCTGGATGCCACCTGATGGTATGCCCCAAAGCTCCTGGCCATGTGCCGGTTCTGGGCAGCTGCCGCCGCCGATTCACCTAGCAATCGACTCTGATCCGCTGTGCCCAGCAGTCGGTTATTTTGCTCCATCAGCAGATGAGCGGTGGGATCGACGAGCAGTCGATGTTGATCCGCCGCCGCATTTGAGGCAGCCAAGATGCGATGTTGCTCCACCGTGGAGAGCAGCCGATGATGCTCGAGACTCTCACGGCTCTGATGCTGCATCTGTGAGGAGAGGAAAGAGCGATTGTTGCCCACGGCCATGTTGGCCGTGTTGGGTGTGAGATCCAGCGAGGCCATGCGCAACATGTCGTGGTGCGACGGATGATTGTATGGCAACTGCGGTGGCGATGACACCACATAGTTGGCCGTCCTGCTCAGATCCACCGAGGTGGTCTGATCATGCTCCTGCTCTCCCAGCTGCTCGCTGAGCATATTGTGCATAGCTGCTGCCGACTGTTGATGCTGCTGCATGGCATGGTGTTGGCCATGACCGTGCTCCTGCTGATGCACCACCGAACCCGGGCCAGCACCGCCACCCACCGCACCACCAGATTGCTGAGCCTGTTGCGATTGCTGCTCCCGATCGGATAGGATGTCATAGATGTGATGATGATAACGGCTGCTCGGCAGCTGGAAGTTGTGGTGATAATTACTGCTGGCCGCATTCGAACGGGAGCTCATGTCCAGGCCTTGGAGATCGGACAGATCGTTGGCCGCACTGGCGGCAGCAGCAGCAGCTGCAGCGGCACTAACCGCCGCATTGCCACCATTGCCGCCAGCCTGTCGATACTCGGCGGGTGAATCCAGATCCTGGCTGTTGTACTTCAAATTACTGGCCATGCTCTCGTACTTGGAGTACATGAGATCGATCTGGGACTGGGGGAATTTCATGCGCATGTCCTGGCCAGCGCTGCTAGAAGAAAGGTGAAGAAAGATTAGTAACCCAAGATCCTTAAGGTATAAGGTATCCCCTCAATCCCCACCTGTTCTGTGGCATGATGCTGTTTTCCTCATCGCTGGACATTTGATTATGCCGCGAAATGTTCTGACGCTGCCGCTCCTGATGCTCCTGCTCCTGCTGAACCACTCGCTTGTGCCTCATCATATCCCCATTGAAGTTATAGCGGGGAATGCTTGGCGACGAGGCCGGTGAGATAAGCTCATGCTCTGGATAGGTGCTACCCACACTGGAGGCATTCCTTCGCTGCGGCTGCAGGGCAGGCAAGGGTGAGGAGGCGGACATGCTATTGGCACCACCTCCACCACCACCACCGCCAGCAGCACCACCACCGCTGGAGCTACCCGCTGGCGTACTATTCGAACCCGGACCACCACCATTGCCGGCAGCACCAAACATACCGCCATAATCCCGTCCCGGTGATATGGGCGGTGGCGAGGGCGGCGTGCGATGATGCGACGAGGAGAAACCATCCGAATCGGGATGCTGGGGACGTGGCGTGCTGCCGGCATCCACATCCACATCATTTTGGTTCTGATTACTCTGCGGATTCGTGGGGGTGGAAGCACTGGGTGATATGTTGCAGGCACCCTGAAACATTGGCAGCGGTGGTATTTGCATGGGGAAGCTGCCCAGGTTCTTCATCATCTTCAGTTCATTCTCCAGATTATCCATGGCACCGCCAATGCCGCCAGTTCCATTAGTTCCACCAGAGGATGCACCGGCACCGCCACCATTGCTATTTCCGCCACCGCCACCCGCTCCGCCAGAGCTGCCCGCTCCGAAGCGTTGCGATTCGGGATCCACATGGGCACTCATCGGACTGTCGCTATTGATGTGGTTATCGGTGGGAACCTGCCAAAAGAATTGGATTAATATAAAGCTCGTAGAGGAGCTCCTGGGATGCCTCACCTTAAGGTCGCTGCTCTCGCTGTCAATCATATTGCCAACGGAGTTGAGGGCCGCCTCCACAAGCATGCTGGCCGAGGAGGAGCCACCGCCCACACCAACGCCCACACCACGAGCATTGGCATTATTGTAGAAGGAGCTCATAAAGGATTGCGAGTGGGCCAGGGAGTTCATCTGCATTTGGGGCTCATCCCCGCCGGTCACTGTTCCACCCGTGGCCGGTCCCGTCGGTGTTTGTCCGCCGCTGCCATCACCGCCACTGCCACTGCCACCGGCTGCACCACCATTGCCTCCCCCTACGCTGCCAGGTCCGGATCCTGCTCCTCCTCCTCCGCCGTACTGCGACATGGCCGCTGCTGCTGCGGCGGCGGCTGCAGCGGCCGCAGCATTATTATTGGACTCGACGACATCCAGGAAGGAGCTATTCTCATCCTCCTCCCGGCTGTGGGCGCTGTGCTGATGCTGCTGCTGCTGTTGCTGCTGCTGGTGCTGCTGGTGGGCATGGGCGTGGGCATGGGCATGGGCGTGGGCATGACTGGCACTGGCACTGCTCATGAGGCGGGCAAGGAAGTCACGATTCTGGCCCAGCAACTTGCTGTGCTCATCCACGGCACTGGGTGGCACTGCAAAGCCAAGATCCGAGCCAGGACCACCGGATAACTGACCACACGCACCTGCTCCTCCTCCGGGTCCACCGTCGCTGCCCACCTCGCTGGCATCCACCTCCTGGATCCATTTCTTGCTACCCTTGCTGACCACCAGATTCTGGCCCAGGGCGGCCGCATTCATGGCCACAGCGTGGCGGTAATCCTGCTGCCCTGCACCCTGCACAGAGGCATGCTGGTGCGGATGGCCGTGGCCATGGGAATGTGAGTGGGCGTGATGCGGGTGACCATGGGCATGGACATGCGAGTGATGGGCCTGATGGGCATGGACATGCGAATGGTGCTGCTGGTGGGTCACAGAGGCACCACTAGCAGAGCCACCGCCACCGCCGCCCCCACCATCATCGTCATCATCCTCCTCGTCCTCCTCCTCATCCATGCCCACACCCACGCCCACGCCCATGTGGCCCATCATGTGGCCAAGCTTGGCGGGATCATCGCCAGCACCGGCCATGGCCGAGACGGCGGCCGCAGCGGCCACCACCTGCTGCACCTGCTGCTGGGCACTCAGCCTTTGGGCGGTGGTGGTGAGGAAGGATTCGACCAGGCTCAGCTGGGCGTTCTGCTTGCGCCGCACCTGCTCTAGACGGGCGTGTTCCGCCGCCGCTGCTGCTGCCGCTGCCACAGCCTCCTCCTCGTCGGGATCAGAGCCGTGCAGCTGCTGCTGTTGCTGCTGCTGAGACTGTTGCTGGGCGTGCTGCTGCTGCTGTGACTGCTGCTGCGTGTGCTGCTGAAGGCCGTGCTGGTGCAGGTGATGCGGGTGATATTGCGGCGGCTGCTGCTGCTGCGGATCGTGATGCAGTTGCTGCTGCTGATGCTGCTGCTGCTGTGCGGCATGTTGCTGCTGCTGCTGATGGTGACTGTGTTGCTGCTGTTGCTGCTGCACTTGCTGATGCTGCTGCTGCAGATGCTGTTGCTGATGTTGCAGCTGCTGCTGGGCGGCAGCATGTTGCTGCTGTTGCTGTTGCGTATGCAGTTGCTGCTGCGCAACAGCATGTTGCTGCGAATGCTGCTGCTGCTGGCCAAGCTGCTGCTGCTGGTGATGTTGGGCCGCCGCACTTGGCTCCTTCTTGCGCTTCCGCTTGCGTCCGCCGGTGGCCGAGGCAGAGGCCGAAGCGGAAGCGGAAACAGAGGAGGGCACCACCTTGTCACCAAAGATGCTGGAGATCTTAGAGCTGAGCAGCGATAGATTTGGCTCGTTGCGACACAGATCCTTGATGGATTTGCCACTCTTCTTGATGGCCTCGAACAGGTTGTCATCGCTGAACTCGGCGTCGCTCTGCAGCGAACCGCTGAGCATGGAGCTCTGGTCCTCGAGACTCTTGCGACGCCGTCGCGGTGCTTGCTCTGTGAACGAGTTGGAGAGAGGGGAGACGACGGCCGCATTAGGGCGTGGCGGCGCCGGAAGAGCCGAGAGCGTAGCCGGCGCAGTCGTCGCCGTCTGCTTACCCAAAAAGTCGACCTTCATGCCGCCCGAATAGGCATCGAACGTATAGGCCACACTGCGCTCAATCTTTGGCATCTGCTCCTGGGTGTAGTTGTGCACCTTCTTGTAATGGAACTGCAGGCACTGTTTGGTGGTGAAAGCTGCATTGCACTCCGGCTCGGCGCACCTACAAAAAAGGGAGAAATATTCAAGTGTTAGAATATCCTAATACCTTGGTGATATCCCAGGAGGATGTTTCCATCCCCCTGGCGTACATATACCCACTTGAACGGCCTGACGCCCGAGTGGGTCAGCATATGGATCTTGAGATTGCTGCGATTCTGGAAGAGTTTCTGGCAACGCGGACAGCTCACCACCGTCGAGTTGCGGCTGTGCACCTCCTTCGAGTGGCGCTGCAGTGCCGCTCGCGATCCTAGAAGTTTTGAACATAATTTACACTGAAAATCTCGTAAAACTTCAGCCATATCTAAAATGAAATTGTATGAAGAAAATGAAATTTCGGATTGTGGTGATTTTGAAAGAACAACTTAGTAATAATCCATAAATCCATAAATCCAGAAACCAACCCAACAACGAACGAACGAACAATGAATACAAAACGAAAGCCAAAACACATAAGGCAGACAGATCTATGTATAACTATTGGATCTCTGGATCCTGGGGGTTCTTTTGGATTCTCAGGTCTCTCAGGTTGGGTTATCTTTTTGGGATAGAGGTTTACTGGGATCTCAGGCCTGGGTTCTTGGAGGGGAAAGACGCTGCAAAAACTATATGTTGTACGCTATAAAATTATAATAATAAATCAAGAATAATACAACCAAGGGCAAAATCATTCACTAAAAGCGTTTACACAATGCAAATTACAATCCACGATCCATGGCAAGGTCACTAGTGGAGTTCTTCTATATTTAATCCTCCTCACATCTCTATAACTTTTCTAGTCAAGCTGAATTGTAGCTATATAAAGTAACCTCTATATTATTAGATATATATTTATCCAATGGTATCTCTCTATTTGTTTCAGTTTTTAATACTACAAAATATTTCATTTTTAATAAGATATCTATCTTTAACTAACTTTTTAAATGATTTATCCCCATCCTAAGTCTTTAATTTTATTTTCTTTTTAAATATTTTATATATATTTTTATTCCTCAAACTGATGTTTATGAAACCTGAAGAATTTCTACTACCTATTTTGTATAAAATTTCCTCTTATACTCTCAATTATATACTTATTTTTGATAGTGTTACCCCGCATGCGGTATTATTATATTATCTTCATAGTTTACCATTTACTAATCTACATCTCTAGTTTCTAGATCTTCTTTTTCAAATTTTACGAGTGTGATATATGTATATATTTCTTTAGTTACTAACTATAGAGCACTCAAAATAGTATACAAACTCAAGATGAATTCAAACTTAAAATAAAGGACTATAAAATATATATATAGACACGGGATCGACCAATTGAGGCGGTGTACAAATCAAAAGTTTGGCAACAAAAAAGAGATGAGCGATCGCAGATGCTTTTTAGAGTATTATTATTGCGGGTATATATATGTTATATATATATTAAATGTTGTGTGATGATTAGTGGCAGTGTAATGGTGACTTATTTAGTTAGTACAATTAGTTTTACCGCTAAGCGTTTCGATACGGTATTAGTATATATGATAATATTAGCATTGGATGGTGTCACGATCGCCACAAAATGGGAGAATTGTTATTTAACTTTGGAAGAACTCTAAAACAAATTAAATTAAACTTGTAAAGGAAAGCATGTAATATTCATAATTTGAATTTAGTGAAAATTATTATTAAAATGAAGTCATCAAGTATGAAACATGAAAAAGTAATTTAAAATAAATACTTATTACATAGAAAATTAAAATTAAAAGTGTATATATATATGAAGAGAGATGAAAATGACTAAATATATATATACTAGAATTATAATAATTTAAAAATTTAAAAACTCCTTAAAAATGATACATTTCAACTGAACATTTATTATTTTGGTTCACAAAATAATTAAACTATATAAGTTTATGTATAAAAACCAATATACTATTCAACTCTTTTCTATATTTGTGGCGATCGTGATTAGTAGTACATATATATTTGTTGGGTTTTGATAGGTTCGATTTATGCAAAAGCGTTTGTAATTAATTTTTTTGTTGTTGACTTCGCCTGGGCATTCGGTACAAATGACATACGGTTGCTAATGCTATGACAATGTTTTACGACAAACTATACACGAGCTTACGACATACGACATGGCAGTCTTGTTGGCCTACGATGCGGCTACGTTACATTACATTACGCATACGCAGTGGGGGACGGGATGTGCGATCACAGTTACAGTCTAGGCTTGGGCTTGGCTCTGGGGTCTGAACTCTTGACCCTTTTCTGGCCCACTCACTGGACCGCAATGTGTGACTTACCGCTGTGCATTCGCTTGATGTGTGCCTTTAGCTTTTGGGGCTGACAGAATTTGCGGCCACAGAAATCGCAGACAGGCCTCGAACGATTGGGATTTGAGGCACAACCATAGGTGCGATGCATCTCCAGGTAGTTGAGTCGCAGGAAGAACTTGCTACAAAACTGGCACTGATAGGCACCCTTGCCATCATGCTTCTCCGCGGCATGCTTCATGATGTTGTCCTTGCCAAGGACAGCCTCACCGCAGACCTTGCAATGGTATTTCCGAATGGTTAGACTCATCGAGGGATCGTGGAAGACAGAGCAATGGGTGCGATAGTACAGCGGATGCTCAAACTTTAGGTTGCAGCCACCGCAATCTATATATGTAGGGGAGACATAAGGTTATATCTTTGAATATTAAAATAGATAGATAGAAACCCACTCGTCTTCTCCGTGTGCTTCTTGCGCCACATGGTATTGCAATCATCACTCCAGTACAGCAACTCCATGCCATTCCTTAGATCTCGACAGCTTACAAAGTAAGCTTGACGATCTATGGACACCAGATTGACATTGCGCTCCTCATAGCTGGGCGCCGGTCGGACAAATCGCAACCAATTTGAGGCATTGGGGTTATCGCAGCACAGCAGATATGACTTATCCGCTCCAGCCTCACACATCTCAAAGATCCACTTCATGTCGCTACCCTCACGTACCTCACCGGTCTGCGCCGGTTGGCCAATGAGGGGACCCAATTTGGTAAAGGCCCTTACCTCTGTGCGGGCAAACACACCGGTCACATTGGGCTCCACATTGTGCAGCTCGAATTCCGCGGGCACTGAGGCCTCCGCAAAGGTTATCAGTGGCTTGGTCTCCAGCTCTGAGAGTTGCGATGATTCATCCATATCCATATCCATATCCTCCATGTCCTCCATATCATCATCCTCATGCCGTTGCCTGCCGCTGGCCCTTTTCGCCTGCCTCTGGGCATCGGCCTTCAGTTTGGCCAGTGCCTCCAGATTCCGCCGCTCGATCCACTCGCCCAGGTCAACGGCATCGGTCACATTGCCGCAGGCATTGCGCAGTGGACACATTTTGTGGTCATGTGTGATGGAGCATTCGCGGCAGGACTGATGCGATCGGAAGGCTATATCATGTTCGTCCTCTTCTTCGACGAAATTCTGCTCCATTTTCATTTCGCGGGCCAGGGCCTCCTCGTCAAGTTCCTCATCATCGTCGTCGTCCTCATCATTGCCAGGCGCACCCATGCCCGGTTCATCCTCATGCTCGTCATAGGAGTTGGGTGGCATCATGGCCGCTGCTGCCGCTGCTGCAGCTGCAGCTGCTGCTGCTGCCGCCTTGGCTGCCTGGGACTTCTTGCCACCCTGCGACTTGGAGCGGACATGGAAGTTACTTAACTGGCCATTGCTGGTGGTGATGCCAGGTCCTCCTCCTGCTAGGCCATCCACGGCATCCATGGCGGGCATGTTGGCCAGCAGATGCTGATGTTGCTGCTGCTGTTGATGCTGCTGGTGCTGTTGCTGCTGCTGGTCCTCGTCGTCCTCATCTTCATCGCTGCCATGCCCCTCCGCTGCCGCTGCTGCTGCTGCTGCCGCTGCCGCCGCTGCTGCAGCTTTCTTGAGGCACAACGCATTCGGTAGCGACTCCTTGCTATTGGCCTCCAGTTCGCTCTTGATCTTCTCGGCAATGCGGCAGTCAAGGACCTCGGGTAACGCCGAGGAGGCAGCTGCTGCTGCCGCCGCTGCAGCTGCAGCTGCTGCTCCCGCTTTGAGGGCTGCCGCCGCTGCCTTGGCCTCCTGCTTCTTGGACTTGGTATAGCTGTAGCCACCTCCTGCTGCACTTCCTCCGGCCGCTGCGGCTGCTGCTGCTGCTGCCGCTGCAGCCGCCGCTGCTGCTGATCCCTTCCCCTTGCCGGCATAGCCATTGAGGGCTTCGGAACTGAATTGGACACGCTTCTTGTACCGCTTGCGTTGTGGCGGCGTGGGCGTGGCCATGGGCAGAGAGGCCGCCGAGGCAGAGTCACCGTTCCCACTTGTATTGCCATTGCCGTTGAGCGAGGAGTCGGGCGGTGGGGCAAAGTCCTTGGCGCTGAGATTCGGTTCCAGCTTGAAGTTGCCATCGAAGCCTTTGGTGGGCGTGTGCGCGGGCGAGGGCGGGGGTAGACTAAAATGAGAGAGAAAAGAAAATTGATCAGGTTATATATCTAGGATCTTAATATATATAAATACATATATATTACATGTTCTTCTAACCCTTTTAAATTTTATTTTTACCCAAAAATAAGGTCAATATTGGAAGTGTGCAATTAAAATTGTTTTGGAAATCGTAACTAAGCTTAAAATAATTAAACTTTTTGAATATTCATTTATTGATATTTTTATTAGACCATTTTTATGGCAGATCGAAGTTTTAAAAACTCATAACTTGGCCAAAAAAGCATTAATTTCAAATCGGAAAACTGTTCTATGTTAGTTTTTATTAGGTTAATGAACCTGCTTACTTTATTTAAAAATTAAATAAATTAAAATTTTATCATTTTTTTTGACAATTTTAACGATGAAACCCCTTATAAAATTAAAAAAAAATCGGAAAATATTTTTTTGTTTCCCGACATGGCTAGAAAGATTCGCCTGGTGATGCTGATCAAGAATATATATGATTTATAGGGTCGGAAATGATTCCTTCAATGCGTTTAAAGCTTCAGACTTAAATTATAATACCCTGCAAATGTATAAAAATATATAAAAACGAAGCAAGAAGCTGATAAAACTGCACAGAAAATGATAGATGGAATGACGAAGAGATAGTTTTGTGGAGTCTGGGTAAAAGTGGGTCGATGAAATTTATTTATTTTTGGTCTATGTTCCGGTCCCTTGGCCAGGCGAAGGACCAGAGGCTATCCTGCATCCGTATGTCCGGCATCACCCTCTGTGTCCTTCTCTCGGTCCCTTTTCGTGTCCCTTTCCTTGCCTCTGTCCTTGTTCTTGTTATTGTTGTCGCTTTCGCGTTTAATTAATTTCGCTTATTCTTTGCTTGCTGCTTCGCGTCCCGCTCGAGGGGTCAAAAGGTGGCTTACGAAGAAGGGAGGGGAGGACGGTGTCAGTCCAGAAAAGAAGAGGAAATTCTCTGGAAAATACCCTATAAAATACCTTTTGGAATAACCTTTAAACTGCCTTTAAAATACCTTCTTAAATCATTTTAAAATATCTTCTGATATAACCTCATTAATACCTCTTATATACCTTCTTAAATACCTTTTTAAAACTCTCTGAAGTATTATTGGAAATATCCTTTAATACAACCTCTTAAATACCTCTATAGAAGCCTGTGAATAAACCTCATTAATAGCCTCTAAAATACCTTAAAAATACTTTATGATACCTCTTAAGCACCCTTTTTTAAATAACATCTTATATACCGTATTAAATGCTTTTAAAATAACCTCTTAAATACCTTCTAAAATACTTTCAGAACTAATCCAAAAATACCCTGGAAAATTCTCTTTGGATAACCTGTGATTGACTGTAAGTAGATCTTGATCCAACTGTATTTATATTGAATTTATAAATAAGTAAAGCTTTTTAACTATTTAAGTTGTTAGCTATGACATTGATGTTAAATTCTGTAATTGTACAAGTTATTCAAAGAGAGTCAGCTTCTATTTTCTTAATCAGTATAGGTTCAAGAAAGCCCTAAATTTAAAATGCAGAAAAACAAGAGGGGTTTTTAAGGATATTCCCCGATATGAAAACACTGACATATTGACACTTTTATCATTATTCCAACTGTCTGCTCCTCTAGCCGCAGTTTTTTTTCTTTTCTTTTTACATTTTCTTTAACACTTTAGTTGCAGCAACTTGTTGTTGCTGGGTCATTCCAGAAGTTTTGATGGTTTCAAAGTGCAGCAGTTCGCGAGCTCTCTCTCTCTCTCTCTTTTACCCTTCTTTGGGATGCAGTGCATCCCCTTAGCCATACCCAGAACCTTCTCCATTTCCATCTCTAAACCTCTCTCTTCTCTCCGCTTAAATTCGTGTGTAGGAAATTCATCAGCAGCAACATCAGCAGCATCGTGAGACTGCACTATGGGTTTTGGTCCCTGGTTCATGGTCCTTGGTCGTTGTTGCCTCCACACCCCTCCCTTTGACTAATCCCCTCCCCCCAACCAGAAAGTAGTAGCCAACTCCCTCTACTCTCTCCCCCCACTTTGCTTTGGCCTTGTTGTTTTTGTTTCTCTTTGGGGAGCTGCGTTGTGTTATCGTTCATTAAATCCTCCACCTTGGAACCTTAACAACAATATCGAAAACAGCGGCGGGCAAGAGCAAGAGCGATATGGATACGAACTGAGGCGAGGCTAGGGCATTCTCCACATCCTTCCAACCCACCACAGCTATCCACTTACCCTGCTCTACTTTGTCTCAGCCTTCTCGGACCCCATTTTCCACCCCCAAAAACAAGCGGCATACCCCCCTTGCTTTTCTTTGACCGCAGCAGAGAGCGAGGCGAGAATGGCAGCTGGCTGGAGCATATTCCGTGTGCTCCACGCGCCAAGTTCTCCATGCTCCCAGCTCCCCGTGCTCCATGCTCCCAGCTCCCCGTGCTCCTTGCTCCCTGCTCCCTGCTCTCCCTGCTCCAATCTCCCTTCTCCCCTCTCCAACCGATGGGGTTCCGTTCTGGTTCTGGTTCTGCTTCTGGGTGAGTGTCTCTGCCATTAATGTGCTGCTCGATGGGCACTGCGGGCGATGTGGCAGTGGCAAGGATGCCCAGTGTGTTCTGGGGGATGGTGGGATGGTGGCTTTGGGAATGGAGAACTCGTGTGCGTTGCTCGTTGGCGCATTAAGCATACACAGACAGAGGACTCGCACACACACACACATATAACACACAAAGACAATCGCACAACAATTTTGTGCTTTTTGGCGAAAATTTTCGCAGAAATTGGCGACATGGCGTATACGAAATGCGAATTGGCAAAAGGCGGCAAAGGAAATGAATGGTGGGGAAGGAAGCGAGGGGAAAAGGGTGGGTTATCATCTGCTGTTCGTGTGTGTGTGTGTGTGTGCGTGCGTGTGTCTGATTACAATGAGGCTGTGTGAGGAAATGGAAAATGGGGAAATCGAGCACAAGCTCAACTGTTCGCACTGGCACAGGAAATGCCAAAAGAAGAAGCTTCTGATTAGTGTCGAGAGATGGGGAATCATCGAATAATCGAATGTCCTTGTACGAATATTAACAAGAAATATTTATTTATATTCAAAATGAAATATTTCCTTGTGAAATATTTAAAATATATACATATTTATATTCAAATAAAATATATGTTTATTTTTAACTTTCGCTTTTATCCTTATTCAAATTATTTTAAAGCTGCAAATACTAATTTTACACTGGAATAAAATAAATATATTTACTTTAGAAAACTGCAATCTAAGCTGACTAAAAAAAATCTGATAAGCATTTCTAAATTAAAAATTTATGTTCCTGCTAATAGAACATATATCAATTTTGATCTAAAGAGTGTATAGAACATCTTGATATTTTAATTTCGTGTGGTTTATCTGATATTTTGCTTATAGAACAAGAAAATATGAATAATTATAAATCAATATTAAAAACAATTTCAATGAAAAATATTAACTAAATTAGGCATAATCTATCGAGCTTATCTGCTTGGTTAATAACATAATTTATAATATTTTATAAATATTAAAGAGGACTTTAAACAAAGGGATCTTGAATAGTGAAACCCCCAAAACATCGGTCAGTTAAATGAAATGTGAGGCAAGGTGCTCCCCTGTTCATGTCATTATGGGTGCAACAAGCTTCTCCAATGATCGAAGCGAGGTCCTGGCCTCCTTATTGTGGCATTCGCAAAGGCAAATGCAAAACCAAAAGCAAAGGCAGAAGGGAGAAGGGAGAAGTAGAGGCTTGGCAGATGAAGGGGGCAGAAAACAGAGGCGGAAAGGTGGCAGTTGCCGCTCAGCGTGATTCAGGCATTTTCAGCATTGGCATTTCCCATTTTACGGGTAAGAGGGAAAAGCGGGTAAAGTGAAGGATGTGAGTGGGGAAAGGGGGGAATAAAGGGGGTTAAGGGAGGCTGATTCAAAGCGCCAAATGGCGCGCTCGACTGCAATGCAACGAGAGCAACAACAACAACAACAACAAGCACAAGGCGTGGCATGAGGTATGGGAGACGAATGGGTATGGGAATTCGCGACACATTCACGTTGCAAGGATGTATGTTTACGTATTGCTATCTCATACTCTATATATTTCTCCCTCTCTCTCTGTCTTTACCTCTTTCTCTCTGTCTCTTCCCTTCTTTCACTCTCCCTTGCTCTTTCTCCAAGCTTTGCAGCTTGGCTCCTCGCTCGGTTTTACATTGACAGAAATAACTTTAATTCGATTTTTAATACTAAGAATCTTGGTTTCTTTAACCTAAAAAGTAAACCCTTTCAAATCTGTAAATATAGGTTTCTACAGAAAATAATTATTTCTATAAGCAACTATATATATTTGGGTATATAGTTTCAAAATACAACTTAATTTGACTGATAAATATGAAAGTTACTAGACAATAAGCTTGCTAAATCAATGCAACATCGTTGCATGTATGTTGCTGGCACCAATGGATGCTGCTCAACATTTTGGGAGGAATATTTACCTAGCAACAATTTCTTGTGCATGCCACCATTTTAAATAGTTCATTAAATTAATTATTTATTAATAATTATTGTTAGACTATGTGATGTGTGTGCTTAATTTAAACCTCAAAAGTTTGAGTATGTCACAATTAAGCATACTTCATCAAAAAGAATTAAAACTGCTAGGAAATGTTGTGATCCCAGCTTATCTTCAGACAGACACTTTTCTTCGAGACACATTCTTCCAGGAAGTTCTTTAACTTCTCCCATCTTCTCAAATCTTTGAAGATATTTCAAAACCCTTAAATGTTTTCAATAAAACCCTCTTTTTTTCTGACCGTGCATCGCTGATGTTCGCCGATTGGCAACATGGCATGCAAATGCAACCAGCAACATGCTTGAGTATGTGTTCGTTCGTCTGCCTCTTCTATGTGTGTGTGTGTGTGTTTGTACGATTGCGAGTGTGTTGCTTTTTCCGCTTCCGTTGACATGGCGGCAGCGACTATGGAATAAGGAATACGGAATACGAAACACGAAATACGAAATACAGAATATGGCTATGACTACGACTGAGGCAGCAGCAAGCATTGGCAGCGACATGAAAGCGCCGTTGCATGCAACCGCATGAGTACCGCATTTGTGCCTTTGTGCCACACGGCCAAAAAAAAAGGGGTTGAAGGGGTAGAGGGGCTGAGAGGCTAACAAGGTTCTCAGGGGTTTGAGGGGGCGGCAGCGGTTGAGTGTGGGCTGAGTGGGCAGGGATGCATTCGGGCATGAATCGCTTTTACATGGCTCGCTTTTGTGCCGCTTCGCTTTTCTTCTTCTCTTCTGGTGGGCGCTCAAGGCGAGCTTCTACCGCGGCACTTGAGGGCCCCCTGTTGTGCGTGTGTATGTGTGTGTGTGTGTGTGTGTGTGTTGCCCAAAAGCTTTGAGTGTGTGTGCAAGTGCATTTCTGCGAACAACTATCAACAATCATGGCCAGCGAAGCGTTGCCATATCTCTCACTTCCAGCCGAATCGGCTCTTTTGTCTTGATTTCTTCCTTTTAAGCCGCGACTTTGACTGCCTATGTGTGTGTGTTTTGAAGTATGTGTGGTTGTGTGTGTGTTTTGGAGTGTGTGTGTGTGCTGGTTAATCAACAGGACAAGAGAATAGAGAACAGAAGGAGGCAGCGAAAAGGACGAGACAGTGAAAGGATGCTAACGAGTTTGTGTTGCCAGATCAGTGAATGATTCATATTTCTATGGTTGTCAGGGGTTGTCCAAATTAATTATTTTAAATTTATAATAAATCAGCGAGTTAGGTGTTACAGAAATTACCAATTGCCAATTACCCTTTTAAATGGTATCGAACAAAATTTATATGTTTAACAGAAACTAATTCGAACCACATCATTTCATACTTTTAAAAAGAGTTCCAGGGTTTTAAATGCTGTTAGGGTTTCCTCTATTACCTAAGATTATATTTTAAACTATATATTAAATATGTAATTGTTATAACGTCTTTCCCAGACAAAGTTTAAGGAAGCTGAAGCCTATATGATTTCTAAACATTATATAGCAATAACTACACATTCTTAAATGGTGTGTCTAGTAAAAAACTATCCTCATTCTTTTTTCCACCTATCTCCTTCCCTGATATTAGCTGAGTTAAGGAATTTAAGCATAAAATAATGATCTACTCACTTGTTCAGCCGATCCGTGTCGTTATCGGCCAGGTTGAGCAGGTAAGCAACGAACTCCACATCGTTCTTGAACTGCAACCGGGTGCGCATGTGCTCCCACTTTTCCGCGTTCTTGGTGCCGATGTAGATGTTTTTACTATAATTCTGATGGCGGTACTTCCGACGTTCGCTAGCAGCGCTGCTGCCACCGCTACCACTTCCGTTGCCGTTGCCCTGCTGCTGGTGTTGCTGCTGCTGATGCTGCTGCTGCTGTTGTTGCTGCTGCTGATGCTGCTGAAGCGCTGAGCCACCCACAAGTCCGCTCAAGGAAGAGGCCCCACGTGAGTTACCGCCGCCACCAGCGGATACCGCTCCCATAAGGTCATTGCAACAGCCTACACCACCTGGTCCACTGCCAGCGCCCGCCGAGCTGCCGCCATGCGTGGAGCTGAGGGCGTGGTTGCTGTTGTTGTTCGTGGAGAAGCTCGTGTTGCTGTTGCCACCCAGCAGACTGCTGGGTCCTGGCTGTTGTTGCTGAGCATTAGACGAGGACATTGGGGCACCGCTACTGCTGCTGGCCATGTCCAGAGCGGTGGCATTCTGCTGCTCCAGTTGGGCATTCAGCTTGGCGGCTGCGGCTGCTGCAGCGGCTGCTGCTGCTGCTGCCGCTGCAGCTGCAACAGCGCTCATGTGTAGGCCGCTGCTTTCGGCAGCAGCAGCGGAGTTCAGGTGGGCCGAGGAGAGGGTGGCCCGGCTATCCAGGTGACTGCTGGCGGCCTCGTCTTCCTCCTCGTCCTCGTCGTCGTCCTCCTCTTCCTCGCCCTCATCGTCATAGTCGGCGGGCTCCTGTTGCAGCTGCTGTTGCTGTTGCAACTGTTGTTGCTGCTGCTGCTGCTGCTGTGGATCATGATGACTGGCGGGCAGGACATGCCTGAGGTCAGTGGGTCCCAGATCATGGCCATTACCTTGCTGCTGCTGCTGCTGCTGGTGGTGGTGGTGATCATCCTCCTCATCGTCTTCCTCCTCCTCGTCGTAGTCTTCGTCCTCTTCCTCCGGCGGTGCCTGCTGCTGCGCCTGCAGGTGATCCTCTCGCTCTCGCTGATCCCGCTCGCGATCCCGCTGATCTCGCTTGCTGTTACCATTGTTATTGTTGTTGTTGTTATTATTATAGTGCTGTTGCTGCTGCTGCTTGTTGCCATTGTGCAGCGCATTGACAGCGGCTGCTACCACAGCTGCCGCTGCCGCTGCACGTTGCTGCTGCTCGGCCGCTAGCTGCTGCTGCTGCTGCTGTTGCTGCTGCTGCTGCTGCTGCTGATGGTGGTGCTCCTCGTCGTCTTCCTCCTCATCCTCGTCTTCCTCCTCCTCTTCCTCTTCCTCCTCCTCTTCTTCTTCGTCCATGCTGCTGCTGCTACTGCGACTGTTGTTGTTGTTGTTACCAGTAGTGTTGCCATTATTAGTATTATTATTATTGTTATTGTTGTTGTTGCTGCTGCTGTGCGGCAATTGTCCCGTCGCCGAGTTGTTGCTATTGTTACTGCTGCTGGTTAAGGCGGCCGCTGCTGCCGCTGCCGCTGCCGCCGCTGCTGCGGCGCGACTGAGGAAGGGTGGGCGTGGCACAAGGGGCGTATCGGAGTTATCGGAGCTATCATTAAAATCGAAAGCACTAAAATCGGCCGCATTTGTTGCATTTGCAGCCGCTGCAGCTGCTGCTGCCGCTGCTGTTGCTGCTGCTGCTGCTGCTGATGCTGATGCTTGTGGATTTGCGTTGCTTGTTTTGGACATGCTGCTGCTGCTGACGTCGCTGCCTATGCTGGCGTTGCTGCTGCTGCTGCTGGTGCTGATGCTGCTACTGCTGCTGCTGCTGCGACTTCTGCTGCGACTGCGGCTGCACCTTTGTTGTTGTTGTTGTTGTGCTGCTGCTGTTGCTGGTGCTGCTGCTGTTGTTGTTATTGTTGTTTTTAGTGTTGCCTTAGTTGTTGGTGGTGTTGTTGCTGCGCTTTGCCGAACGCTGCTCAGTTTTTGCTATTTGTTATTGTTGCTGGCACTGCTGCGACGCGAATGCTTATTGTTGCTATTGCTGCCGCCGCTGCTGGGCTGCTGCCGCTCAGCCTCCGATGGCGCCTTGCTTTGGTGCTGCTGCTGCTGCGATTGCTGCTGCTGCTGCTGCTGGTGTTGTTGCTTTTGCTTCTTCTTCATCATTCACACACACAAGTCGCGCGTGCGACACACTACACTTGTTGTTGCTGTTGCTGCTGTTGTTGTTGTTGCTGCTGCCTTTGCCGCTGCTGTTGTTGCATTGCTTTTCCCGGAGCTTTTCTCGCTTGAGGAATAATGCAGATTTTTTGTATCCTATTTTTTTGTTGTTACTTTGTTTCTTCTTCGAAGGCAACGCCGCTGTTGCCGTCGACGTCTATGCCGACTGCGACTGCGACTGCGACGGCGAACGCGAAAAAAGCGCAGAAAGAAATAACGGTAAACGGTTCGCCGAGTGCCACTCGCTGGTGTTGTTGTTTTTGCGTTTTTTTTGGCACCGGGTGGCAACGCCGCTGCAGGGATTTCTTCTTATTTTTTTGTTTGTATTATTTTTTGTTCCTTTTTTTATTATTTATTCGATTTTAGTTTTATTTATCCTTTTTTTCTTTTACTCTTTCTGGGTTAATGTTTACATTTGCGTACTCCTTTCGATTGACCTTAACGCTTGCTTGTCTCAGTCTGGCAGCTGGAATTTAAGTTTAATTTAAGTTAAATCGAATAATTAAAGCTCGGCAGGAGGTCCCTGGCACCTAGAGAATATGCTCCTTCACTTGCGGTTGGGTTTTTGTGGTCACAGGGCAGTCAGAGTCTTGGACTTGGACTTTAGCTTGGACTATGTTATGATGCCATACGTTACACACACGCACACACACACACACACACAAATGATTTCGATTTTCCAATTCACTTTTCTTTGCTTTTGACACTAAAAAAAATTAACAAAAAAAGAAAACAGAAGGAAGGACAAGGAATTAAAACATATTGAAGGATCTATGCAGTTATTTTTGCTTGGCTTTGGTAATTTGTTGTCGTTGAAGCTTGTTGTTGTTGAAGGTTGTTGTTGTTGTTGATTATTATTATTGTTGTTGTGGTTGTTGTTATTATTGTTTGCTGCTTTGCAATTTCCAGAATTTGGTTAGTATTTTTTCTCCGTTTTTTGAGGACAAGGGTGTGCGTGTGTTTGTGTGTGTGTGCGACACCCACCCAAAATCTTAAAGAGAGAGAGAGAGAGAGAGCGAGCGAGAGAGAGCGCGCGAGGCGGTGGCGGTTTTCGCCTAGCGGGTGGGTGGGGGAAAAAGGGGTGGTGGGTGGGCAAAAGGGATATGTTGAGGGGAGGAAGGGGGGCTTCCCAGCTAGACGCCTCGCCTTCTTCTACAGCTCCTTTTGCTAGGACCTTTTTCTTACGCACTTTTTTCGCTTCACTTGAAAAGAATTTGTTAAAAAAAAATCACAAAAAACACTAGCACACTTTTTCGCGCTTGTTGTTGTTTTAATTTATGTTATTTAACTGCTTTGCTTTTTGCTCCTTTTCTTGTTTGGTGTGTCCTTTCTGGTTCCTTTTGGTTTTCCAACGTCCGCCGTTCGTGATTAGCGATTTCTCTGCGAGCGCTCATATGCCGTTACTCGCTGGTCGCGACGGAATGAAGGACTTTTTATTTATGTGTATGTCCTCGCCGCAGTCGCAGCAGCAGCAGAATCAGCAGCAGCAGTTGTTCCCGGCTAAAGGCAGCGACGCCGGCAGCGCCACTTCCTGCGCGCTCCGCTCTCCGTTGCGAAAAAGTTCTAGCGAACGGCCGCCAAAGCCCCCTCACACACACACGCACACACTGACATGGGCACTGGCACACGCACACGCTCGCAACACACTCACTCGTCCTCTCACACACTCGCCCAGTTGGATTACCGAGAGCCATTGCCTCCGCCATCTCCCTCTCTCTCTCTCTCTCTCTCTCACACACACACACTCTCGTTGGCAGACCAAAAAGCTCGCTGAAGTCGCGGCTAAAGTCGACGTCGACGTCGTGTCCTGTCCTATCGCTGTTTTTGACGTCGCGATTCCTTCTGCACTTGTGTGAGTGCGAATGTATGCGGGTGTCCCGTTTGTGTGTGTGTGTGTGTGTGTGTGCACACGCGAATTGAGATGACGACGACAGCAACAGCAATAATAACAACAACACACCAGCGAGAACACGAACAACTCTGCTGCTGGTAGTTGATACTAGACGTCTTTGCACTAAGAGAAAATTAGTTAGCATACAAACCAGAGATTTACCCCAAATGACGATGTTAAGTCGAGGGAATTTTCATTGTTCTTCTCTTTAATTAAAAAACACTTTTCTTTAAATATTTCAAGCGGAACTGAAATTGAAATCAATTTATTTTTTCTGACAGGACTTGATAGGAATGTCATGTAAATAGTTTCCTGTTTAATGTTTAAGTTTCGAAGAGAGAATTTTTATGAAAATTGCTAGGGTTTCAAAGTCTCGTATTTATTTAGATTTTATGACAGTATCAAAGGTTCAAGTAACTGTAGCCTGGCAGAATAATGAATGACTTACATAGCTTTAACATTTTTTCTTGTTTAATTTACAAAATATTTTAATTATATTAATCAAAATTTAAAGAAATAACTCCCATTTGGTTCAGTGCATGCTTTTTGCTGCTGCCATTGCCACACATCGTCATCTGCGCCAAGTTCCGTTCTCAGCCTCGCACCCGTTCTTTCTCGTCCTGTTTGACGCCACCACCCCCTCCAGTCATACACACACAAACACTTACACACACTCGGACACACACGCGCAGACACACTCACACATTTAGATGGGCACGTATTCCGCCCCCATTGCCGCCGCCGCTCCCCATCGAGCCACTGTCGGTGTTATCGTTGTCGTTAGTGCCACGACGGCCGTCACATTCAATGCACTGAGCGAAAAAATATTTGAAGCGTAGTCTAGTATTAGTATTTCAGTAAAATCATTTTTACCATGAATATTGTCTATAAAAAACCTAAGTCGCTTTTTATTAGCTTTAAAACTAAGTAAGAAATGCTAAAATCAAATGCAAGTACTTTCGTTTGATAAATTTTATGTTACTTTATACTTTTATATATTTCCATCATAGGTTTTCCTTTTTTAATTATACTGATTAAAAGTTCTTAATATTTCCCTAAAAAATTCACTCAAAATGAGAAATAAGCAACCATCTGTACTTCACATTTGATTCATTTTATTATAAATTTTTAATATAGTTTTTTTTTATATATATACATTTTTTATTTTATTATCGGTTTATCTTTTTTATGAAAAGTTCTAGAAAAAAAACAGTCGCTGTTATATATTTTTTACCCTCGGTGGTTAAGTCATATAAAAAGTGGAGAATTTATTGCCAGTTTAAGCAATTTCTCGCAGTGCGACCAAAGAACGACTGGCAGGAGCAGAGCGAATTGGCGCCACCCCCAAAAATCCATGCGAAGCAGCAGAGATCTCCGCCCCTCCTGCAAATGCCGCTACTCCGCCCCCCGTGCCTCTCCCACATTGGTCATAAATCGAATTTTTGTTTATGTGGTGGTAAGGCTGCTGTGAAGAATCCCCGCCCCCTGCTACCGCTCCCTCTCCCGCTGCTGCTGCCACCCACAATATTCCCACCCCGCTGAGTCTGCAGCCAACATCCTGTCATTCCAGCAGTCGCGGACGCCGGCGTCGAAGCTGGCAGCGCAGCCAGCGCCAATGGTTTACGGTTTGTTGTGTTTCGATGCCAGCAGCGGGGGTGGTGGTGCTGTGGTGGGTGGTTGGGTGGCTGGGTGTTTGTGCGCGAGTGTGTGCTTGTGTGTAGCTCCTTGATTTCCTGCCCGTGCGGGTGGTGGTTCTGCCAACGTCGCTGCCAACGATGCTGTCTCTGTCAGCGTCCATGTGGGCGGTGGGGCGCCTGCGTCGCTCTCATGCTCCGCCAGCGCTCTCTCGCCCGCTCTCGATTGTCCACTCGTCTCTCAGCCGCTTTCACTCGGCGACTCTCGCTCGCTCTTTGCGCCTGCTCCGCTATCTACTCGCTACTGAGTGGCGCCACCTCTTCCACTTGCCACAGAACTAGCTGCGCCGGAACGTATGCAGCAATTTTTCCCCCATGTTGTTATTCCTCGCTGGGGGTTGAAATAGCCTGTGTGTGGCCTCCCCTACCATCCACCCACTTTAACGGAGGATAAACAATATGCGCCAGGGATGGAGCGCAAAAACTAAGAGCCCAGGGCTAGTGTTGATTTGGGCCACTCGCTCGTTTCGAAACATTGAATCTCGTTGAAATTAAAAAACATAAAAATATGATCAAATATATAATAAGCAACCAGTCTTTTGATTACCTTTAAAAATAATCATAATTTAATTTATAATTCTTTCTCCGAGTCTAAAAGTCGAATTGATTTACTCGTTGCGAATCAGAAACCAAATACAAACTTGGTAGAAATGTAATTTTATATGTCAATAAAATAAAATAATAAAGTAAAATAAATAACAATTTAAGGACAGGTAAAAGGATTTTTTTGCTTTAAATTAAACCTTCGGTCTCGGGAATCAATGCCTGCTACATGGGCTTGAAAATTTACATGCGGGCTTGAACTCAGTAAAATAATAAAACAAAAAACATTAAGGTCTTGGCAACTATGCCCAATGGAATACCCCGCGTCTAGTCACACACATAACAACAACATAAATTATGCCAAAAAGGAAAGGAACAAAATAAATGAAATCAAGAAGCAAAAATAATAATAAATAAGATGCTAAGTTTCCCCCTCCGTCCTCCGAAGGGAAACTAAATATATTTGGGAAGGCCAGGCTTCTTTTATATAAAACCCAGCAGTGTGATTGCTTTAATAAATCAAGAAAATCCTCGTTAAATAGATAGATGGCAGATAGAGTTTCAAAAATACCGATATTAATATCGATATTTAAACTTATTTTAAATATTTAAATGAACTTTGTAACCGTAGAAAGCTATGTTGTCCTGATCTAACTCCAAGATGGATTAAATATAACTTTTAGCTGGTTTGGGCACCAAATATCAAGCTCGAAGCAAAGTCCATGGATAGACTAGGTGGCGCCAAACTTCTACGCGTACCGGTAAAAACGTAGAAAAATAAAAGGGGGATAATTGTATAATAAAAATATACAAAATGTATACATATTATTTATCCAAATTAATTAGGTGAAAACAACTCGAATTTGTTTTAATTATCTCAAAATAAAACAGAACAAATCATTATTCTGTAAATAGTCATGTAAGATACATTTTACACCTATTTAATCGCAATTTTCAAATCAATACAGTAAATACATGCATTTTATACATGTCAAACTTTTATATATATAGATATATAAATATATATATATAGAGTTCATCTCCATCCAGATAGACATCGATTAGAGTTCAACATTTAATGTTTTTAAATAATTTAAAAAATTAAAATATATTCATAAATTTAGAATCGTCACTAGTCTAGTTTTCAGTGGCGCCCTCATGTAATCGCTGTGTACAGCTAAGGAACTTCTGGTAAATTATGTCGCTTTTTAAAAAATTGTATGTAAAAAAGAAGTAAAAATTAAATGTTGATGTTACTTTTTAGTTTTGATCGTTTTGTATACATTATGATAAATTTAACAAAAACAAAACTACTTTAAAAACATAAATGAATTAATTAATTTTCGATACCAATATTGCTATTATCCGATGGTCTCTCGTTATGCAAAAAAAAACAAACAAAACTTCGAATCTGAAATCGACATTTCTTAAAACCAACAAAAACAAACATTAAAACTTAATTGTTATTGTTTTTTTTTTATACATTATTTTGTAAATTTGCATAATTATACATCTTTCGCTCAGTGTTCTTGGCTTCGTTAGAACGTCTCTTCAAACATATTTGTCGCCTGCAGCTTAAGTTACCTTCGAACATCGAGTCATAATGTCTGCCCAAAGGATAGGGCAGCTACGTTCGCTTGTAACGTGCTTGATGTTGCGTTGCGGAGTTGCAGGAACGGAAAGCCGCTTGTCTCCCTACTAAATATTACTCAGAGCCATCCAACATCGAGCATGCTCAATTCGAGCTTGTTCCATTGCATCGAACGTGCTCGCCAAACGCTCGAGCTCATTCGGCTCGGTTCGGCTCTGGGGGAAACCTATAAATACAAGTGAATAGCAACTCATTTGAAAAAAAACTTCTTTTACAATTTTCCTCCGGACGGAACGGGCGCGTTTTTCGGCATCGGAATAGGAATCGGCGTTTTCGGCAAATACGTGTATCGCGCGCGTGTGTCAGTGTGTGTGTGTGTTAGCGTCGTCCGCGTGCTGGTGCGGGAATTGTGGAATTGTAATAAAACCGGTTGCCACTGCCGCCGCCGTGCCGCACTTCTTGCAATTGCTTTGCTGGAGGAAAAAAAGTAAAATACAACAAAAAAAAAAGCGGCTAAACACGGCTCCGAATAATTGTAAAAGTCAGATCACAGATCTCGGCAGTGTTTTACTTATTCTTCATTTCGTGCGTTCTGCGTTAGCAAAAGAAAGCAAGGATTACCGACAAAAAACCTCTTTTCTCTGTCGATCACTTCAATTTTTTTCTTGTGCCTGTGCTCCTAAACGAAAAGAAGTCCCCCGAAAGAAGGGAGCTGATGGAATAAAAATAAAAATAAGGAAAGAAGCAAAGATAAAGCGCGCGCGGCTGTCGTTGTGTATTGCACCTTTTTTTGTCGTTTGTTTGCAAGTGAGCGTGCGGATTGTCTCTGTCTCTCTCTCTCTTGCAGTTCGAAAGCCTCTTGTGCTGAGAGAGCGCCAAAGAGGAAGGCAGATCGTGGAGAGCGGATCGACCAGCACTTAGGTAAAGAGAACATAAAGAAGTGCCATGAGTTTATGCAATGCAGTTCACGAATTGTTTGATACTTGAAACGGTTGAGGTGAGAGAAAAGGTTTACTAGGAGTTAACATTACGGAACTTTGCGTTTTTATTGAAAAATAAGTTATGCCTATAGTTTATTATAGACTTCATAGAATGCAGTTTATGTGGGCTCATATAATAGCATTACATGAAAAAAAAATACATGTATTGGGCATGGCATAAACCCAGCTAGTGTGTGTGTTTGAGAGAGAGTGAGTGGGATTGTGGTGCAGCAGCAGCCGCAAAGACCGGCGGAACCGGTCCGACTTCCAGCAGCGACTTTACCTGCAAACAATAACAAAGCTAAAGGCGAACTGCAGTGCAACTAAACAAAAAAGAAAAACAAAAAAATAGGCTGCAGCATCAGCAACAACTATTGTAAAGCCAAAATACCGTTCATATCGCCTATTAGCCAAAGCCATAATGCCAAGGATTCGCTTATAGTAATTTTTGTATATATAGGGTGCATACATACATACATACACATGTATATTGAACCATTTAACACCATTCAGGATTTATGTAATGATTATTTACTATTTTAAATTTTTAAATGCTTTAAGATGTTGTTTTGCTTATTAATATGTATTTTCAATAGAATACAAAATAATAAGCTATATATGCTAGTTTTCGCAGTTTAGCCATATTTACTGTAATTCCAACGGACTGCATAATCTGCGGGGTCAAATGAAAGCAGAGACAAAGAACGCAGCCAAGTAGAAGACGGTGAAAAGTCAGCGGCAAAAAGCTGAAAGTTGATTAAGCAAATAAATAAAGTGCGGGCTGCAACATAAGACATTAACCCCGAAAAGGCAGGGCATCTCCGTGGCCCCATTGCTAAGGTGAACCAATTTTTTTTTATTTATTCCAACTCCAATGGGTTCACTTTTTGGCAACTCCAAAACTTTCAATAACCCCATTCTCAGTTATAGTTTTTCAGTCAAAATTTAGTTGACTGCAAAATCAAATTGCTCTGCATTGCACATAAAGTTAAATATGCAATGTGTGCTTGTTATGGGGAATAACAATAAGAAGATATGAGGTTTATGGAAATTATTATTCAATTTTTATTGACAAAAAAGTCTTATAAATAACGCTGAGGGTGAAACCCCAAGAAGCCATAAAAAACCTTAAAAAGGCCACAACGAATATATAAAACTTGTGTGTATGTAGATACATGATGATTGGTTAATTATACCCTTGCATAGTGTGTTATAATTTGCATAATTTAATTACTTTGAAATATAATTACTTAGGTATTTGACTTTGGTTGCTATATACAGGTTTCAGACAAAGAGTTTTACAATAATTTGTTCATAGTTTTAAGAGTACATAACTAAACCATGAACCGTCTAGGGTTAAGGATCCCAAAGGGCAAGCGCCACCTGCGCTGCCAAGGGTTAATCACTCAGCTGCGACGCTGACTGAGGCGACGGCATCGGCAGCGTCTTGGCGTGTAATTGACGTTGCCAAAAATTAAGCCAGAACAACAAAAAGCCGCCGTGGAGAGAGGAGAGCCAGAGAGAGAGCGTGAGCGATGGAGTGGATGTGGGGGAGGCAGAGTACGAAGAACGCAGAACAGAGCACAGAAAGCAGAAGGGAAAACTTCACGGGAGCAGAAAAGCCTCTGTTTTTTTTTTTATTCTTTTTGGCACTGAGTCTGGTTTGCAGTACAGTTAGCCTACGTGCATATACATTGGTATTGGTGTTGGCATTGGCATATTCGGTATGTGTGTGCGTGGGGCTAGTGTGTAAGTGCGTGTTTTTGGCGCGGAACTTTTTTTTGTTAATGAATTTATCTTTGGGCGAAACGATGAACTGCACGCAGGTGAAAAGAAGAGCAAGTTGAGCCGAAAGTCCCGAAAAAAGGCCAAAAACAAAGCGATTAGCAGGAATCACACGCACGCACACTGTCGACAGGGAGGGGTGCGGGTGGAGGAAGGGATAAGGGGTAAGGGGATGGGCGGCAATGCTTTAGGCAGAAAAAAACCGTTAGGTACTGGAAAAAGAGGATACAGTCGGTACAGAGAGATCAGTGATGAGAAATAGTGATCTACATATGTAGAAGTTTACAAATACAATATTTAATAATTAAACAAGCGGTAAAACGTTGATAACTGCATCATTAAGTATTAAAAACATATTTAAATATTGTATTTTCAATCACTGTGAAAAATAGTTTTCCTGTTACCATAATTTCAAAAACAAGAAAGAAAACTAACTAACAAGCCGATGTTTATATACCCTTGCAGTTAGCAAAATAAATAATAGGAACGAATCAGAAATCGATCATAAGTAAGCTTGAAATATTCGCATTTTTTAATCGATATTTATTGATATTTTTATAAGACAATTGTTTCGACAAATCAATATTTTAAAAACTCATAACTATGCCAAAAAAAGCATTAATTTTAATTCGGAAAGCTCTCCTAAGTTTGCCGAGGTTTTCATTTTCATGCAGTTTGCATCCACTATTTAATTTATTATAAGGAAATTAATTAATTTCACTTCGTTACTTTGGGAATTTTTTTTTACTTCGGTAACACTTTAGGGAGGAATTAATTCGGTGTTGGTTTCCAGGGGTAAAGTAGGAGACATTTCCTATTGACCCAGACTTATCGGTGAATATTTTTTAATTTTCTTATAGGGTTCTCTAAGGGTATGTTCTGTTTGTTTATTAGGTGTTATTTGGCAAATATAAATACCGAGTTCCTGGATGTTAAACCCTCTGGAAACTGGCTCCTTGGAAACTGTGTCGTTACCGAACCATGATCGCGCCATGAGCTCTATTTTTTGCTGTTTTTTGACTGGTTCGAGTTCGTGGAGTTTTGGCTTTGTGTTTAGGTTTTGGTTTTGGTTTTGGCTTTGGCTTTGATATTGGGGCAGGGGTTAGCGTTAAGTCTAACGCTGGCAGCGACCACAAAACCGTGGCAACAACCGCAGCAACAGAAACAGCAGCCATCAGCATCGGCATCGGTGGCCAGAAGAACAACTCCACGAAAAAACCAGTTTCGACAGCGATTATGGTCCGAGCGGAAAGGCTGGCCGGAGTTTTCGAATGGAGTTGGGGGCCCAAGCTCGACAAGAGGCTGAGAAGCGCTGGCAAAGCTGGGGGAAGTTTGCTGAGAAGCTTGGATGAAGGATTGCCTGTGTTGGTGTTACTGGTTTGCATTGGTGTTGGCCTTAAGGCAGTACAGTTTGACCATCTTACTTGCTTCCTGATCGAACTGGTGCGATAATAATAGAAAATGCCTACGCCAAAGTTAGCTAGACAGCTTTAGTTTTAGTTTTAGCTTGAGCTATTGAAATTTGTTCTCAAGTGCACATACTTTGAAAGTATTTATTATTCGAAGGAGGGAAATATTTGAACTTGTTCTTAACTTTATTTGAAGTTAAAAATAGCCTAAAGAAATGTACAACTTTTTCTTTATATAATTGTATTATTATATTCTCGCATTATTATTATAGGTTTATTTACATAATACTCGATCAATTGTTGAAAAACGAGTAAAACAGGCATTTTGTCCAGGAAATTATTATTATATACTAAATAATGAGATCGGAATCAGAATGAGAATTAATATATCACAAACCCTCAAACAATACCCAATAATCGAGTGCATTATTTTTCTCTCTAGAGAACTGTACGGTTTATTGTGTACTGAAGCTTAACCTTTATGGTAAATCAACAGACAACATTAACACTTATGCCAACTCTTTATTTGCTTTTATTAGAAGGAGTGCTTGGTTTAAATTTAAAAAATAATTGAAAACTTGAAAGAAAGGAAATTGCGTAAATTTTTAAATATAACAACAAATTTAAATAAATAAAAAGCAACAAAAATCCTATAAGTATTTTACAAATTAATAACAATCTCTAAAGATAATTATAAAGTTAACTGAAATTTAACCTACATAATTCTCACATTTTTTTTACAACATCTCCAAAAGAACAGCAGGAATTAAATATTTAGAAATGTATACGAAATATTAAGAAATCTACTAAATATAACTCAACATTTTTCTTGGTGATCTAGACTTAATCCATATTTGATTGATTTTATTAAAATCGCTTTTTCTTCTGTGTTTATATTTCTCCTGACTTGCTATGTTTTTCAGTTCGCGCCTACGCTTGCTCTTTCTCTCGCTCTCTCCCTCTCTTCTCTCTACTTGTATTTCTTCATGCTCCTCTTATTGGGGCTGCATCATTGTTTACTCCTTTTATGCTTATTGTTCTACATTCTCTTTCTCGCCTCACTCTCGTTTCTCATGTTTTTCTGATGATCAATCGCACTTGGTGCTGGTTCGGTTTTCGGGTTCGTGTTAGGTTCGAGTTGTACCGAACATCAGTCCGAACAGCACTACAGCAAGGTTTGGCGTTGGAGTTCGAGTTTGGAGCCCAGTGTTCGAGCTCGACTGTAGTATGAAGCTTGTAATATCGGTTCGAATCGAACCCAAATGGACATTTCATTTTCGCGCAGCACTGCAAGAAATTATATTGAAATTAAAGCATTGTTTTAATACGATTTTGAGAAAGTTGTATATATTTTTTGATGGGAATGTTTAATAGAGTTTCGATTAAATATATGCATTTACATATATAAAAATTGATAAATATTTTTATAATTATATATTATATTTGTATTTTACAGATGTCACCCATATTAAGACGAATACTGTGGAAAACAAGAGGATTATTTTCAACGCTTACAATGTTCATCAGTCTCAAATAAGGTAAGCATATTTATTTAGGTAATTAAACTATTACATAAATATGTTTTTTAATTAAAGTAATGAAAGAAAATGAATTTACTGTACTGTAGGACTTCTTAAAACTTAGTTTTATTAAAATACAGACTTTTAATACTCTTCCTGCCTGTTAAATATCTATTATATATACCACAATTTTAACCAAACAAGTACCTCTACAGCATTAATGACGTGTGAACAAAATTTGCACTAAGTGCATTGGATATTGGTTACTAAACGATCGTTAAACGCTCGAATGGACTCATAAATAGAAATAGATAACGAGATGGTGGCCCAGATACGGTGATATCGTGTGCATATATACTATATACATGTACATATATACTGTCACATCCCAGTTCCGACTTTGTGTGTGCGCAGGTAGACAATGTTTATGTACTTATGGGATATCAAGTAACGCTGAAAATATTGTTGTCTAGACCCCAAATGCTTTATGGATGAGTGTCGCTTACTTGAGACACAGCGAGCGTGGGCTATTGAACTTCACATTGGACACGCACATGTGATACAGATAACGTACGACCGATTCCCCAAGTCGCCGGGGGGGTGGGCGGATTTTGTCATGCAAATGAACTCAATGCAGGCGGGAAGGCGGGAAGGCGGGCGGGCAAGAGGCGCGGCATGACAAAGTTTTTAGATTGATTCACCACAAACACATTTGTAATAAAGACAGTAAATATCGATAACAGCAGAGGAAATTTGATATGCTGGAAAACCAGATTTATTTTGTATTCATTTATGTATATTTACATTGAGCACTTGAGCAATTAAACTTAATTACTTTCCATAGCAATGCTTATATAGATTTATTGGGTTATTTAAACTTAATTTTTCTTTAATATAAAATAGATTTTTATTGATATATGGTTTTTATTTTAATATTTGATTTAAATCACTATTATCAATAATTTTTTCTTTTTAGATATACATAATATACCTATCTGATTTAAGAATTGGTTTCCTTAGCTATATTATAGCTTTTTAGTTCACTTTGTTTCGATATTAAATCGATTATTTTCAATAGGCAATGCTTACTTGTTTTTAGAGGGTTAGTTTAACTTAATTTTCATCTATATTAAACCGAGTTTTTATCAATATATGACTTTTATTTTGATATTATATTATTGAATTATTTTTTACTTACCATCCCCAAAGCTATATAGATACATTTTTGATTTAAGAATGGCTTATTCAGCCGTCTTGATAGTTTTTTAAAGTACATTTATTTCGATATTAAATCGAAATGATAGATAACCTGCTTCTTTAGAATTTTTGAATATTAAATCATATAGAACTCTCCATACATCTGGATACCTCCCTGTTTCAAAAATTCCCATATCAGTGTTTTTTTTACAACTGTCTGATTGTATTTTTTTTGTACGCCAACTTCAGCGTATATATGCAAATCCGTTTCAGTGAACAAATTGTGAAATTGCAAATAGTACACGCTTAGGTGCTACTTTTTACAACGTTGTATGTATTTTCATTTAAAGTCCACTGTGCATTTTCATGCTGTCACAATGCTGCAAGGTAAATTCATGCACTCCCATTTACATATATATTTACACTTGGGCGTGCACACATACAATTGCATATATATATAAATATGTAGAAATATGTATAACCTGCTCATAAATTTAAACGTCATTTGACAAATATGGTGTCACCCTAAGTGTCTTCGATATAAAACAGAACGGAATCGAAATGATTTATATTCATTTGAATCGCAACAACAGGCAGCCAGTCCAATGGCATTGCTCTGCTCTTCATTCTCCGTTCTAAGCCACAAAACCATTATAATGTTTTAATGTAATAACAAACTTTGGACACGAAACAATACAAACTCAGGGGAATTTTTTTTGGCAAAGCCAAGCAGAAAGTAGCAGTTGTCTCGCAGTAGTTGTACTACTATCGTTATTGTTGTTGTTATTGTTGTTTTCCGCCGTGAAATGGCGGTTATTCATGCCAAAAAAGGAGAAATATATATATACATCAAAATATATATGTATTTTTAAGATTTTAGATATATATGCATTAAAATTACCTTGTTTTTGAAAGTTTTATAATTATTAAAGAAGGTTCTTTAACGAACTACATTTTTTCTCATAAACAACCTTATTAAAACTTTACCATACTCTAGGTAATCTTCGTTTCCATTAAATAAAATCAAAAAACAATGTTATAATGTCATTAAAAACATATTTAAACATTTATTAAAATAACCTGCAGTTAAAAATCGTAAAAAAAACTCACCAGAATGCACTCTTAGTGCATTATTAACTGGCTAACTCTCCTTGGAATGCAAATTTGTGCCAATGTGAACATGAATTTTATATTTGGACTACAGATATAGTGACTATGTACATACATGTGGAAAATTAGCATTACATCAGCAGTCGTCAGTGGTGAAACTTTTGAACAGACCCACCTCTTTGTTGCAGGCAATATTTTATTATATACATACATATATATATATATATATATATATATGTTTATGGGTATATATGTTTGCTGGTCAACTTAATCTTGAGCGCGGCATCGGAACGATCAACCCAACTGCTCATAAAAAACCAAAAAACTCGCCATATATTTGTTCTCTTTTTGTTTTTAAGCCGCTGTGTCATGAATTTTTGCAAATAAAAATAAAGTCAGTCAATTCATAAAACGACTGAACTGAATCGTAATATTTAAATAGCCAAGAGAGTATGGTGATTGAGTTTATTGAGGTGTCTAAATTGGTATATGTCATCCAATCAGCAGGTTTAATATTTATTGATTTCTAAATATACATATATATAAATATATATGTATATATATTTATTTTTTAGAGTATTTTCATTCATGTCTCACTGAGTGCTCCATTTAGTTTTATATTTTTGTTATTTGATAACTTAATGAATAAGCCAAGCCAGCTGCTGTTGAACGTGCACTTTTGGTATTATTGCGGAAACGTCAAGTTTTTGATAAGGTTTTGCTAAGCTGTAAGACACTTGTTTATTTAATATTATTTTTATTTTATTATTGTTGTCATAGTGCATGAGTAACTTGGCTGTTTTTAGAGATTATGTGCGGCTTGCAGCTGGGAAAGAAAGCTACATTGATGGGAAATGTTTTATCTTTTGGGTTTTTTGTTTTTGCATTTTACCTGAGGCTTTGGAATTTCATTCTTGATTGTTTTGATTTTTCTTACAGTGCAGGTGTGTTCTTTTTTAACTGTTTGTATGTTCATGTTTGCGGCTTCCCACAGTTAGCTATGTAGCTCTTCCCTGGGTGCCGACGACGCCTTTAGCTGATAACACAAAATCAATAAGTAATAAGATAACAGTAACCCCAACTTGCCAAGTGAGCGGTTTTGCCCTCCATACAGTCTCATCGTCGCTGAGTGTGTTTCTGTGTGTGTGTGTCTGATGTTTGTCATCTGATAAGCTGCCCTCAGCTCCCTCGGCATCTTTGCTACCCTGGTATATAGTAGACGGACCCATTACCCAATCGAAAGTGCAAGAGTCGCTCCACGACAAGCGCCAAAACGGCAATCGCAATGAAAATGTTCCCAGAGTATCGTTCCAATGTTGATGACAGAATCACCCCGATCTCCTCCTCCTCTTCCTCAACCTCCTCCACCACCGTTACCGGCAAACAAACAACCGTATCCGCGTTATACGTTGTACTACCTTGCGACGCCTATCATCTTCATCGTCATCGTCACCTTCGTGGCAAATAATTGGGACAAGTGTGTGTGTCTTTGTGTGTGTGTGCACAGTGGATCGAAATGTGTTGGCAGCTAGAGCTATATTCCTCTATTTGATGTTCCATTTTTGGCCATTATTGGTTATTTTTCTGAGCTTGAACTTACATATATATACTTCAACGCCCTTGCAGACTAATAAGTAACTAAGACCTCAACTAATGGTTGTATTTGTGGGGCTAAAATGTTATAGTTGTACCCTAAGTCTAGGTTAAATAATATAAATAAATATATATAGATTTTGCAGAGAGTAAATAATAGAAAATATATCAATTTACAAGATAAATTGGTAACAAAGGGGTTTCTCTTATATACCTTTTAATTTTAGTCAAAAGCTTGTGAAACTATGAAGGAGTCATTTCCGACCCTACAAATCATATATATTCTTGATCAGCATCAACAGGGGAATCGATCTAGCCAAGTCTGGTAGAAAATTAAATTTTTAACATTTTTTCAAAATTTTTCAAGGGGTTTCATCATTAAAATTGACATTTTTTTGAAAAAATCAAATTTTTTTAAACGTTTAATGAAGTATGCAGATTTATTAACCTAATAAAAACTAACATAGGAAATCTTTCCGAATGGAAATTAATGCATTTTTGGTTGAGTTATGGGTTTTTTAAATTTTGATTTGCCGAACAATTTTTCATAAAAGAGAAAGGAAGCTAACTTCGGCAAGCCGAAGTTTTTGTGCCTTGCAGATTGAAATTTAGTTAATAATAATATATAAATTATATTTACTTATAATAAAAAACAATAAGGTAATGCCTGCTTTCATTGCATTCAACTATACATTTTACATTTACAGTTTTTTAACGATCGTTTGTATGGCACCTATATAATAGTCCGATTTTCATAAAATTTTACACAAAACTCTAGATTAATATATAAGGGCTATATATAAAATATCTGTTAAAAACTGGAAAAGTTATTTATTTATTTTTTTAATTTCCGATCTTTCCTATGGCAGCTATATATACATATGTATATATATAGTCCACCGATTCACCATGCTCCGACTTATATACCACTAAAATAAGTTAGAATAATAACTTCATAGTTTCATTCAAATAGGTTGCTCTTAAATTTGTTCCAAAACAAATCTTGCACATCTGTGCATATGATTCCCAACTGGTTCTAACATCCCCGGAACGAAGTGACTGCTACCGGCCAAGTTTCAGAAATGTGTTGTGTTACAAAAGTTGCAAGTCATTGTTTA